GGAGAGACTTAAAAGAAGTAACCTCCTTCACCTACACCTATCTAAGAAGCACTGTTTCAACTACAGGCAACACAGGCACAGACGAGGATGTTAAAGTCAGAATCGGAAAAGCAAGACAGGCGTTCATTATCCTGAAACCAGTGTGGAGATCTTCTGCACTCAGCATGTGGAACAGCATCCGGACTTTCAACACCAACGTTAAGTCGGTGCTTCTGTGTGATGGTTGAGAGACTTGGCGCGTTACGGAAGGGATTTCCAATAAACTACAGACATTAATCAACAACTGCTTACGCTGGCTCGTTACTGAAGATCAGATGGATTGCCAGAAAGAATAAGCAACAAGGAGCTCTGGAAACGAACCAACCAAGAACCTATCGCTGAACAAACGTGCAGAAGGAAGTGGAGATGGATTGTGCACACACTGAGAAGGCCGACTGGGGACATCATGCGCCTGCAAGGCCCTCGAGTGGAATCCCCATGGGAAGCGACGAGTTGGGTGTCCGATGGTGACATAGAGGAGATCCTGCGAGGAGGAAATGAGAGCTTGTGGGCTGTCATGGAGCCAGGTTCAAAAGATTTCAGAGGACAGAGTTCACTGGATACGTGCTACTGAAGCCCTATGTTCCATTACCAACCCAAGGGACTAATAATAAAAATAATAATAATATATGCTGGTTGATACCAAGTGAAACGGTTTTAGTTGTTTAGGAGCCAAGTAAGAGAAATACTTTGATGAGGATGTTCAGAAACTCAGGTTACCAATTTTAGTCAGTTAAAATCACTTACGGTAAAGAAAGTTTTTTTTTGAGGAGATCTACGTTTGCGAAGTATAACACCTGTAATAAAATAACTTCAAAAGAATAGTAAGATCAGTTTTATCTGGGTTGATAATTCTCATAGATGAGTAGTTTTCCGAATGCACAACTGCGATGTCAATACGGTTTCCTTTGGAAATCACCAAACCAAGATTACAAGGTATGACTTCTCATAAAAAAGTATCATTAACTAGCGTAATATACTACTGAACAACTTGAGTGGTTAGAAACCACCCATACTGATCTGTAGATTTCATTGATTCAGTTAGTTTGAACAATTCACTTCTATAAGTTGAATTTGTCCAGCTATAAATCTGATGAGCTCAACCCCAAAAGAATGAAATCTTCATCCTGCGTTCAAATTACTTTGATCTGGCTAGCAAAGTTTAGAAATCAGTGTGGGTGGTTTCTAACTACTCATATTTTTCAGTAGTATATTTAGTTAATTCAAAAGAATGCAACAGATTCAAAACAGAATTCCAAAAATGCGATATTTTCATACTAATTCTTTGATGAAGCCTGTCTTTAAAATTCTATTTAAAATATTCTTCTATACACTTCTAATCAGTGACAATAATTGACTTTTAAAGAGATATGATCGCATACTTTCTAAAATCATTGAATTTAGATTCCAATGAAAAGTTTATTGTTTGTAAGAATTTGGAAATGATAAAGAAATATGTTACTTAGCGTAATCGACTAGCCAAAACTGTTTTTTCTTCACCAAATTAAAGCTTACAACATTACAAGGTACTTTTCAGAGATAATGAAACTGTTCTACAACTCAAAATTCCATCATTCAATGAGGCCAAGTAACAATATATTCAGTCTATTCTGAAATGTAAATGATAATAAAGGCTAAACTATATTTTAGACCCTTAGAAAAGTTATAAAGTTTGTTTGGTTATTTTTATGACATCATGCTATGATCGTCTACTCTCTCTCTCTCTGCTTTATTTAATTTGACAAAATATAACCTCGGGAAAACGTTGCATGAAGTCAACCTTACTGAATCTACGTAAACTACCAAAAAAAGAAATTCAAAATGGCTGTAACAAAACAACCAAAATTAGAATTATACGATGTGTAACTGTCAGTTAAGTCAGTCAGTCAGTCAACGTAGGACTTGACATTACTTTCCAATAGTCAAAGTTACTACACCTCACTAATGTGTCAAAGAACAAGGAAACACGGCGAAAAGATACAGAAACAGGAAAAAGGATGGAAACGAAAAGCACTGAGAGTGATAAGAAGAGAAATAGAAAAAGGGATGAAATATAATAACTAAATACGATATGAAGATTGAGATGAATGCACCAGCACCACGGCAGCTGATTCTAAACCATATCACCTTCATTTTTCGAACGGTGATTTTAGTCCCCGTGAAAGCCAAATTTTCACACATAGCTGAAACTGACAGTCAGTGACTGCACAGATTGGTGCTACATTCTAGAATGCTCACCTTTAACCTTTTACCAACATAAAACTAAGTCGAATAACAACATGCGTTGAAGTAGTCAGTGACAAGCTATAAGTGACATGTACCCCAGTCACCTCAGCTGGTTCAGGTTTATAACCACAAGAACCGATCTGTCTCCTCTACTTAAGAAAACGCCTAACCCATACTAATGTGGAGGTTGTAAAACGTATGGGTAATGCTGTGATGGTGATGATGGTCACATACATGAAGCCATTTTATACGCATTACCTCTTATTGCCATGTTTCACAACCAGACAATAGGACCAAGTGAACTTCTGTGCAGTACACAGAACTCTCGATAAGCAATCGGATATCTCACTGATTTTATAGGTGGTGAAATTTTGTGTCCATGCTGAGATTTTATGAGTCAGTGACCTACGAGAATAGTTCCGAAGCAAATGAAGTGGTCAACGTGCTCAACCACTTTGTTGCATAGTCAGACAATGCACCCCGGTCCCTAAGTAAAATTCAGGTTTGGATTATGAGCAATGAATCCCGACAATTCTCAATTTGTCACTCAAGGTATCTAAAGGGCTTCATCTTGTGGGCATATTCCCAAAACAGAACTGTACTATCTGTGTAGTCCAAGTCCACTAAAAAGTTTTCTGTAAAAGGTTCAAACATTTCAAAGTCAGAAAGGATATTGATCAAAATATAAAATAAGAATGGAAGCAATGAACGCCACTGTCAGACTTCTCTAGAAAAGTACAGTTTACCTTATAACTCACTATAGACTCTAACACGCTAATGAGTGTTAAATTATGCAGCTTTCAACAGAGAGTTGTACTTATTCGGCACCCATTCAGTGGAAGACATTGGCATAAAACCTCGCGACCAGCGAGATCTAATGCCACCGTAAAATTGAGAAAAACAGCTTCCCTCCAAATCCGATAATTGTTTATTTTCATACTTGGTGGATGGTGAATATATGATCAGTGCTAGCATGACCAAGTCTAAAACCTGCCTAGTTTACTCAGTTTTGCTGTCCCAAGATTCATTTAGGAGTACAATGTGGAAACTTATACAATATGTTTGCCAGACTTATTCTCCTATGGTATCAAATGAAGATTTTTCTTTTCTCCTAAGGACCAATACAATCAGTAACTGAAATTCTCAGATAAAAAGCGAAGTAAATGGATTTATGATATAGCTGTCAGTTTTGAACCATTTTATAAAATATCTTTAGATAGCAATTCCAAGTCGCCTGAGAAGACAAAACAGTAAATAAGCCTACATACAGTTTCCTTAATACTTATCAAACTAATTTTCAGTGATTGCAAGCTATACTCTGATTTGATGTTCGTCGGGTATATGTTTTTTTCCTAGCTCTGTCACAAATAAGAATACATAGGTGCATTTGATAGGTGAGTATACATAATTAACTTCTAATTCTACTCACTTTGAACAAAGCTCAGTGATTTCCGTAAATCACTGTCAAGGCATATAAATGAATCTTTCAAGCCTAAAAGTCTTCAAATCAATGCGGAATCATGTGCTAAACTCTGAGTCCCACCTAGTAAATAACGGTTTGAGATGCGATTTTCACCACCCAAATGCAAATTGTTGATCCAGGACTGGTCTTCAGTGGTGCCCCACCGTGGCTAACAATAGAGAGTGAAGTGGTTGAGTGTGTTGAACACTTCACTTACCTGAGAAGTAGGATCAACCCTGGTGGGTTAGTTGCCGATGAGATTTCTGCACGGATACAAAAGGCTCGATTGGCTTTTGCCAATTTGCGTCACCTATGGTGCCGCCGTGATATTCGTTTGTCTATTAAGGGTCACGTGTACTGCACAGCAGTCCAGTCTGTTCTACTGTATGGCTGTGAAACATGGCCATTGAAAGTGGAGGATACAAAAATGCTTCAGGTGTTTGACCACCATTGCCTTCGTAGTATAGGACGTATTCCGTGGTGTCACCATGTGAGTAATGCAGAAGTTAGGTGTAGAGTTTTGGGGAGAAGAGGTAAGTCAGTTGACGAGGTTATGAACCTTCATCGACTGAGATGGTTGGGACACGTACTACGTATGCCTAGTTACCGATTGCCTCGTCACACAATGTTGGCTGAGGTGGGTCCAGGCTGGAAAAAGGCCTGAGGTGGCCAGACTAAAACATGGCACCAATTTATGAAGTCTCTGACTGTTGGTTTAAGCCATGTAGGACGATGCAGACTAGGTGGTTGGGGTCTGCGGGACAAGAGGAACCAGTGGTTGGAGACCCTAGGTGATATGGCTCAGAACCGATGTCAGTGGCGCATATGTGTATACATATTATCCTCATCTTAACAACGCTATACCGAAACTCACCATTTCGTCACTCCTCTTTCTTTTCTTCTCGTACTTTATATTTCTTTTGACTGCATTCACTTATCTTCATCCTTCGCCTCACTACCTTTTTACTTGATGTGCTGATACGAGGTGTGGCAATTCGGACCGTTACGCAGTAATGCCTGGTCCTATGTTGATAATGATGATGATGATGAGTAAATAACGGTTAACCATACAGTAGTGTTGATAAAAAGAAATTGATCTCAAAAATTACTTATTGATTGTCTAATCACTGGTTCATAGCTTCATTCACTACTAATACACAAGTGATGAGTATATTACTGAGTACATTTCATATTATTAGTATGATGTTAACTCAATGAGATGAAAGAATCATTTTAATAAATCAGAAATTAATTAAGGAGAAAGTTAACTTACTAAAAATTGTTGTATTTTCTTATTTATCGCTAAACCTGTTTCATTCACACCTTCAGTTGGATTAAAATGACTGTTTACATAATTTCGTTGTTTCATCATATCAATATCAAGTGAATCAGATAACTGTTGGACACTATCATTATCTGAAATTCCAAGTACAACATAAGCTTCATTTTCAGACTGTATACTTCCATTTTCTTCATTATTACTTTTAGTTCTATAATCAGTTGACTTTTGGATAACAGGAACACCATAACCAATAGGGATAGAGAATGTTTTTTTATAATTTTCAGTAGTCTTATAGAATACCAAACCAAATGGTGTATTATACATATCATTTGGTGATTTAATCTGCATTTCAAATAGATTTTGTAATAATATTCGATGTCGTATATTATCAGAATCTAAGAAATTTGTAATTACATCATGAGAATTAATAATATTCAAGTGGACACAGACAATTTTAAGAAAATATTGAAATGTCCTATCAGTAGTCATTTTTATTAGTTAGTTCAAAGATCTTTCACTTATATCATCTGAATGTCAAGGCTGATTGATCGATTGATTATTAAATAATTCAATAATTTAAATAAATCAATAGCTGTAATGTATTATCAGTATATATCACTCTTCTTTTTTTCATTTGTTGGAGTTGACTAGTTTGGTTTATCATGAGGATCACTCAGTATAGACGTTGAGATATACAGATAGACAAATATGGACAGCAGTCAACTTGACATTATCATGGACAGATCAAAGTTATTATAGTTCACGTCAGTATATCGACAGGAAAGTCAATAGAAAAAGAAGATAGAGAAGTGAAAATATTAGTAGTAGTAATAGTAGATAAAAGATAAAACGAAAAGTAAATTATGAAGATGAAGATAAAGCTTGAATGCCTTTGAGGCGTTGTAGGCGACACTATAAGATGTAGCCAAAGATCTCGAACCATTATTTATTATTATTATTATTTGTCCCTTGGGTTCCTAGTGGAACATACGGCTTCCGTAGCACGTCAACATCTCACTCTCTTCTCTGCAGTCTTTTCAACCTGGCTCCACGACTGCCCATAAGCTTTTACTTCTTCCTCACACCATCTCTTCTATGTCACCCTCGCCTCAGACACCCAACTTGTCGTTTCCTATTTGGATTTCACTCGAAGGCCTGGCCTGGCGCGTGATGTCTCCAATCGGCATTCACAGTGTATGCCCAATCCATCTTCACTTCCTTCTGCATATTTGTTGAGCGATGCGTTCTCGCTTCGTTGGTTCATTGTGGGGCCAACCAGAGTCCTTGCTTGCTTATTATTCTAATTATTCTGTCCACCTCATCTTCAGTATCGAGTGAGCGTAGGCGGCTGTTGTTGATGTATGCCTGTAGTTTGTTGGAAATGCTTTTCGTGATGCGCCGTCTCTCAACCACCATATAGCAGCACTGATTTGACGTTGGTGTTAAAAATCCGGATGTTGTTCTTTATGCTGAGTGCAGTAGATCTCGAACTATTCACACATTTAATAGTACTTTTTGAAGGCTTAGTGTCGTATGACCTTTGATGTTTCTTCGTGGATGTTTGATCACCAAACTTGGTGACATCCTCAAAACTACCCTTCATAAAGAAGTCTACAACAGAATATCAAAGTTCAGAGAACACTAAACCACCTTCACCATATGCTAAAAATCTTTCCCATCATTCTAAAATTGCTTTATCCCGAATCTATTAATATTCTCACCAGTAATTAAACATAGAATGCATTTTTTTCTCACATTCTTTGAAGTTATATACCAAGCTACAGAGTTCACATAACCATCTTTCATGTCATTACTGAATATGTTACTTAACAGTGTTGAATAACTCAAATAACGTCTGGAAAAACGGTTAAATATCCTGAAAAAGATCAGTTATTTCAGTGAAACAAATAAACTTCTCGAAAAATCCCCCATAAATTGATAATAGAAAATGAAAACAAGTGGTTTAGTGAAGAGATTTTCGGTAATTTCATTCACTTAACTGTATACTTGTATTTCAATACAATCTTTTGGTGACAATGTACAGCAGTTATTTAGGCCTTTGTCAACAAGTTAGGTGATGCATATAATAAAAAGAATTGAAATATCGATTCTATTCTAAAATAATCAAAATATGCGTAAATGTTGAAAATTAATTCAAAAGAGGGCAGTAACAAGTTAGAAATACATCTGGTCCATGGCCAATAATTTTTTGTGTTATATTCTACCCCTTACCTCTCTCTCTCCTTCTAGGTCACTTTTTGCCAAATCAAAATACACAATGAACCAGCCCAAGTGATTGGTTGCATGGAATCCAAAAGTACTATAGAACAGAGGAAACAGGGGAAAGGTTACCTGATGAGTGACGATAACGTCCTAAAAGTTACAACCGAAAGTGAATCAGTCTTTATGCAGCGCTTCTGTCTCATCTCGTTTCCGTATTTAGAGTGTTTGAAGGGCTCCTTAAAGGAGTATGAGAAGCAGGCATACATGCACCACATTATGCGACAGTCACATTTGTAAGGTGACCGAAGACCCTACATCAAGTTTATTTGTTTTAAGGGTAGTGGATGCTGGTAGATAGATGGTGTAGTGACAATAAGGTCTATTCCGTTTGCTTTCAATATACATTTTATAGAATACCCCTGAAATGCGCTTGTCTGTGTTCGTGCTTACCAAGTTTTCTGGACAGTAACTCTGCTGTACAACAATAGTTTTTGGGCAAGGAAGTTGAGGGGAGTTGAACTGGACTGCATACAACCATTGCTAATACATTTTGTGGCTGCATTGGATGTCGTTGATTTCGTTTATGCACATTATGGTAAACGACTGAATAATCAAGATGTGTTCAATATGCGTTATCGCCTTTGCGCTCAGATTAATTTGACCAGTATATGAATTTTCCCATGAAATCATTTTGTTGTAGGCAATTTTAAAAAGTCACAGGAGTAGTCAAGGTGGATCGGCATCCTTCTCTGTCACAGACGACTGAGATCTGAAATACATTTTCTTCGCCACAGTGAACCTACTGAAATCTGCTGAAAATTGTCCTGATTTTCTGTGTCTTGACAGTACCTATGAAGTCAATAATAAGAACCTTTTTCTCTACGAGTTTTTAGTCATCGACATTATCTTCATGGCTATTCTCATAGTTTTCGCTTTCACAATCAATGAAACAGCAGAACTGACTAGTGCACTCCTTCACTTTTCTAAAACTATTATTGGAAGCCATCAAGTGAGTGATTTCATAACAGATGATTATCATGCAATTGCGTTTGCATTATGCCAAGTTTTTTCCCATTCACCTCAAGTCCTATATCGTGTGCGTATCATTTGGAACATGATCAAAAGGATAAACCTATGTACGAAATCTAGAAAATTTTAATGTTTGCAGAGATTATAACCGGAGGTGATGCAATACTTCTTTTGAATGTTGCATACAAAGAATATGGAGAGGTTAGTGTCAGTGAACGCATCACATTTTTGTTTAGCTTTGAAAGTTGCGTTATTCAAACAGATTCTATGGATACATCATTCCTTACCTCTTACCTCGTAAGCACAAGTAGACTGCTACTTACCGTACTCAAAATAATACCAACTTTGTCGAAACCATATGTCGTACACTAAAGTTCCATAAGTTGTCCTGGAAAATTTCCATGACCTAAAAATGCACGGTTGCTTAGATTAGTGAGTATCTCTCAAGATATTATAGGAATTCAGTAAAGACGATCAAGGTGTAGTAGTGAATGAATTTTTTATCACAGTGGATACAGAAACAAGGAATAATTGATATCTGAACAAAGCAAGAAGAAAGACATGTACAGAATAGTTGATAATATGTAAGAAATGAATGGAATACAGGAGTTTAAAAGGGGAAAATATGTTTTGAAACGTTTATTGTCATGACTAACTAACTATTTTCACGTATCAAATAAACTGTAGATATTTACTCAGAAATTGTACATAAATGTGACTATACAGCTTAGTGAATGAAATCACTGAAAAAATTTGAAAAGCAGAAACTGACAAGTTAGACACTTTCGGCTCATTTAAAGAAAAATAAATAAGAGGCGGTTGAGTTAACTTATTCTACATAAACGTAAAACAAATATGAGATTTGTTCAGTTATTTTTCGCACAAAAGACAACTTATTCCCCTGAGGAAATAACTCTTATTGAAAATAAACATTAGATATCGATGACTGTACGGTGACTATTTTTCTCGATATCAACTCATTTATATCATTTGAATAAAGTTTCCATTACAATAAGCATCATTTAAGGATCAAGTGAAAGACAAGGAATTCTGACTATCTCTGCTATCCTAGTTTACAGTTTCTCAACAATAACCATTATTAACTAGAACCTGGATGAAATCTAGCCATTTTCGAATTGAACTGGTTCATGACACAATGAATCATTGCTATCTACTGCGACTTATATGTATCACTTCCCGAACTCAAAATAAATGAACCTACAGGTCATTGTTTTCCATACTTATTGTTGCAGTCACTACTGAGTTCCAGGACAAAAGAAACAGCTGGCCCAAGTTCTCTAGTTTTCTTTTTTTATATTCATGATAAATAGGAAACTGCCCTTGAAAATCAATATTTCCACAGTAATCAACTTTAATGAATAATTTAAACAATTTTAATAAACTATGGTGCATACAGTGTAGTGTACCATGTAACCTCATAATTTTCTATACAATTGACAACGTATCGTATAAAACATGCAGTTCAATATGAACAAATTAAAGAAGTACTAGTTCACATTAAATCGCTCAATGGTAGAACGCTGTTCCTGCATAACACATGATACTGATTTGTGATGTTTGTTCACTAATTTGAGGTCATATGTATGATAATAATAGTAATAATAATAATAATAACAATAATAACTTTATTCCATACAATATGCTTTATGCAATATGGAGTTCTCATTATGTAATATCTCGACAAATTTAATCCTCATTATTCATATTGCGTGATGCATAACTGAAGCTCAGTTGGCAGAGCACCAGGCCGGAAACCCGATGGTCGCTATTTCGAATCCAGGCGTGGTCCAGATTTTCATTTGACTTTCAATCATCACCCAGTATAAATATTAGTCTGTCAAACTACGGCTAACTCAGACAGTCGAAATGATCCTTAGTATTCGCTGACACTTTTAATTCTCTATTGTTACAATGAATTGAAATGATCGTCTCCTCTTGGCATATGAGTTCTCAATGGGAGCAACTGGCTGTCATTGGAGTACAGGTACATCCAGCTGACAAGTGGCAAATAAGATGAAACGCTAGTCCTGGACTCCAATGCCAGCCACAACCAAGTATACGTTACATTGCTCCATGTATGAGTATTATCAAACTAAATAATGTCATTTTGATAATAACAGTACTGCAGTCAAAAATATGTAACGATCAGCTGTAGTTAGGTTATCGTTTAGTCTGATTGTTATTATTATTTGTCCCTTGGGTTCCTAGTCGAACATACGGCTTCCGTAGCACGTCAACGTCTCACTCTCTTCTCTGCAGTCTTTTCAACCTGGCTCCATGACTGCCCACAAGCTTTCATTTCTTCCTCACACCATCTCCATGTCATCCTAGCATCCCACGCCCAACTCGTCGTTTCCCGTTTGGCTTCCACTCGACGGCCTGGTCTGGCTTGATGTATGATGTCCCCAATCGGTCTTCTCAGTGCATGCCCCATCCAATCCAATCCATCTCCATCTTTGTCTTCTGCATATTTGTTGGGTGATAGGTTCTTGCTTCGTTGGTTCGTTGCCAGCCAGCCAGCCAACCAACCAGAGTTCCTGGTTGCTTACTCTCATAATTCTGGTCATCTGATCTCCATCTTCAGTATCGAGTGAGCGTAGGCGGCAGCTGTTGATGATGTATGCCTGTAGTTTGTTGGAAATGCTTTTCGTGATGCACTAAGTCTCTCAACCATCACATAAAAGCACTGACTTGACTGAATTAGTGTTGAAAATCCGGATGCTGTTCTTTATGTTGAGTGCAATAGATCTCCACACTGTTTATTTCAGGTTGATGCAGGAGGGCCTGATTTACTGTCTTTCTGATCCTGGCTTTGACATCCTTATCTGTGGCTGTGCCGCCTGTAGTTGAAGCGATGCTGCCTAGGTAGGTGTAGGTGAAGGAGACTACTTCCTTCAGATTTCTCCCGTTGATGGTGATTGATGCTTCTAGTTGTTGTTGGTTTGTGTGGTATCTTCGTCACCTGTCTTTTGTGCGTTCACCTGAAGGAAGTCGCGTCTTCGCTGCTCTGCCTCTTCTGTCAACTTGTTGATTTTCGCCTGTAGATCTTCGAGTTTGTGCGACAAGACATTAGACATAAAGCATCATCGGTGAAATCCAAATCTTTATCAGTCAAACAGCGTATGCCCGTCTTCTCGCTCCTCACGGTTTGCTGTGTGATGTAGTTGACCAAAATCAGGAAGATGATCGGTGATAGCAGGTGATAATCTTGTCTTACTCCTTCCTTCTTACTCCTGTCTTCACTTCAGAGGCGTCACTGAGCTCTCCATTGTGAATCACTCGGCATGTGGCGTCTTCATATAGCTGTTGAATGAGATTCATTGAGGTGGAGAGTTGATTGCCATTCTATTCTCTTTTCTATGATGATGTGTAGTGTTGCAATTTGATCCCCACATGATTTGTTCTTCCTGTAGCCAGCCAGCCAGTTCAGGTCGTAACCTTGAATCCAGCGCATCCTTTAGTCTCTCCAGGATTATGCGGCATAATATTTTGCTTGAGGTGGACAGGAGCATGATTCCGCACATGTTCTTGCAAAGGCTTAGGTCTCCCTTCTTCAGGAGTTTGACAAGGAAGCCCTTCTAATATGCAGGTGCTTTTCCTTCCTTCCGAACCTTCTGCAGTAGTGGTGTGAGCATGTCCACTGTTGTCTTCGCGTCTGTTTTCAGTGCTACTGGTGGAATTCCATCTGGTCCTGCTGTATTCCTGGCTTTTAGCAACTTTACGGAGTTCTGGACTTTGGCTTTTGTTGGACGGCTTGTGTTCAGTGGTAGTTCTGTAGATGGTCTGCTAGTGGTATTTCTGGATGAGTTGCAGGTGGTGGTGATGGTGGTAGTCGATTCAAGAGTTTATTAAAGTGGTCAGTTCACTGTTTCCTTTCTTTTCACTCTTTGGTAACTAAGTTTCCTTCACTATCTTTCAATGGTTTCATCTGTGTTGATCTCTTCCCTGCCAGATAGTAGCCCGGTTATTTGATATAAAGTTGTCAGGTCTCTCCTACCAGCTGGCAGCCTGTTCTGCTTCACTTGCCACTGTGTCGTAGAAGTGTCTTTTGTCTTTACGAGCACTCTTCTTCACTTCTTTGTCTAGTGTAGTGTTTTATAGGTTGTGTTAAGTCCCTCTTTTCATTGTTCATCTCTTCACTACATTGCACTGGTTCATCTTCTGCTTCACCATCTTCCTCTCCCTGCTCTATCAGCTTCTATGTGTCCGTCGAGATCCATTCCTTGTCTTCTTTCTTCTTCCCTACTAATACGGTTATGCAGGCTTCTTTCCAAATCTCTTTCTAAGAGTCCCAGTGTTCTTCCACGCCCGATCCTTTAGGGATGTGGCTCGATATCTCCCATTTTGTCCTGATGACAGACTGACGTGATGTTCTTTGTAGTTTCGTCATTCAGTTCACTTTCTGTTCTGGGTGTTGAACTATGACTGTCATCATCACCAACTTCTGTGAAGGTTTTCAACTTGATTTTGAGGGTAGGTTCCTTGCACTGGATCTTGTGTCGAGTAGGCTGCGTCTCCACTTTTTTCACACTGAAATGAAGTGGATCTAATATTTAGTGTAGTGTGTCCATCTGGTGAAATCAAATCCATGTCGCTCGCTTTGTCAATATCCTTGTGTTTGTACACACTGCCTCCCATCACCAAATCGCTGAATGCGCAGAAGTCTGCAAACATTTCTCCATTCTTGTTCATTTCGCCGGGTGCTTCTCGGCTCATGATAGATGAGTTCTCTTCCTGTGTTGTCAGCTCTCAGTTTGGCATTCATGTCGCCCATTAGAATTTTGATGTCACCAACTGGGGTGGGGTCTTGTCCAGTACTGATTGCAGCTGTCTGTAGAATTCCTCCTTCTTCTCTTCATCTGCATTATTTGTGTGGCTAAGCGTGGCATTGTGTGACTGTGACTTTCCTTCCTTTTGAGTTGAATCTTGATGTCATGATCCTGACCCTGGAGAAGATTGGTCCCTAATGCATGAAAAAGAGCCTCCAATACTATTCAAGGGGGCATCAAGATAGCCGCTCCAGAACCCTGTGTGCTCGTGGTTGTCGTCTGGGTGACAGTATCGGAGTAGATTATTGGATACTCTCCGGATGACAATTTGGAGAGTCCACTTCCATTCCATTAGCTTTCGCAGATTCCTAGCACTTCTATACCACACATTCTCATCTGTTTTGCAAAATAAGCAGCCTTACTAGCTTCAAACATTGTGCGGACATTTCATATTCCCATTCTTACTTTCGCTTTCATCGAGGGAGAGAAGACACATCGGCCAATTGGCTTCCCGAAGGCTTTCATCAACCGGCGCGAATAAGTTTATTTCTATTTTTTACATTTACTTTTTACTTTGAAGTTTCTTTAGCGATTGGATTGGTTTTACGGGGTCGGGTCGGTAGCCCTATGCTCAACCTTTCCTCTTTATCCGGGCTTAGGACCGGCTAGTAACTAGTGAACTAGTTAACCAGGTGAAGTTCGTTTAGTCTGAAGAGTAGAAAAATAGAAAAGTGTGTTTAAATTTGGTAGTGGTAGTTTATTCACCCAGCGCAAAGGTGTGCAATTCCAGTTGGCTGTTTCAGGAGTACTTATCCAGTAGTATATGTTGAAAAGTCCAGTAAGATAACTAATATAAACAAGGATAACAGTTTATGCATAGGTTACGTTCATATTTCTGAAGGATTTAAGCATAGTTTATATTAAAGCGTGTTATTTGTGAGGAACCTATCTGAAACTAGAAAGTTTTAAATGGATACTTTGTTCTCTCTCTACCTGACTTTGTATATATATATATATATATATATATATATATATATATATATATATATATATATATATATATATATATATATATATATATATATATATATATATATATATATGATAACTCTTCGAAAGTTCTAATTATTTGCAATCAACTAATAAAACAAACTGAACTTGTTCATGTTTCTGAATAATGATGAGTAGGAAGGTATAACTGAAATGAAGGAAAAGTAAATGAAAGATGGATAATTCTTTTACTAGGTGGAAAGTTTATTTTCTGAACAAAAAGTAAGTATAAACATACAAAAAAGTGATTATATTATTCCTAATAAAAACCAACCTATTTCGTAGCACTCAAATTCATATTGATATTATTATATTCCATCTACCTACAAGTTACTAAAAGCATCTGAAAATCAAGGTCGTCGGTGTTTAAAAAAGTGTAATGTGACCCCAGCAACAAATGACGATTAATTAAAACATTCAAATTAAATACACAAATTATGATCGTGTTCAGTTCACTCAGATAAACAGTTTTTAACAACTAATGATTGATAGTGGCTAGTAGTGGAATCTAGGATGAACGTTCCTTCCTATTTAGGATTTTCCCCCTAGGATATGAACACGGAACTGATCACTTCAAACGCGAGACTGTTATCCACTAGACCATCCAGTCATGATAGCTACTTCTTGTGTTAAGCAATGATTCACGATACTTTTAGTCACTTCGATTAGAACCAAAGTGCTTCCAATTTAAATGGTGTACTCTTTAAAATATGCACAATGAGTGATGTCACACTTCCTTTAACCAATATGAGTATCAATGCATCATACAGAAGGTTATTTAGACGTGGATTATCACAATTCATTCAACTAACTGCCAAGGAAGAATAGTTGGCCTTTCACTTTATCTATAAAATCTGCGTAAATGGTGCATTAACCCAAGAAAAAGAAAAATTAGCCCTTTAATTTACCACTATCTACACAGTTCATAATAACATTTCTTACAAAAGGTAATTTTCTTGCAGTATTTCTATCTGAATGAACTTTCTTTCCAGTTAAATTATCATCAGACATCAAGACTAAAGTAATATAATCATGAATAAGACATTTTGATCTATGGAAGTAAATAAAATCATTAGCAACGTTCAATGTTCAATAAACTTACTTATTTCATCCAACTTTTTATCAACCTTTTCATTTGAATCAGATATACACTGTCTGCAAACACATATAAAGAGATCGAACTCAAGACCTTCAGGTTTCATGGCAGAAGCTTTAACCATGGAGTTCAGTGATTGAGTTTCCAACTTTATTAATTCACGACATAGCGCGACTATCACCTAAGGTTTTCAGTCGGTATCCCACTTCCCTTCCGACTGGTTGACCTCACATGTCACGGTTTCTCAACAGAACTTCATGATATCCATCTGGAAGTGATGGGAATCCGATCCAGTGGCTGAATGGTTAATACATTCGCTGTGAAACCTGAAGGTTCTGAGTTCGATCTCTAGCGATGATGTGAGTGTGTACTGCTAAGGAGTCCCATACTAGGACGAAACAGCTGTCCAGTGTTCCAAGGTTTTTAATGGTTCCCCAACTGATGTCAGTCCGTGATAGATACTACGTCTAAATTAAAATCTTCACTCATCTCAAAAATACATGTAGGAAGAGTTCAATTTCAACTATTATAACTTGTACAGGTATTAGATACATGAAGATTCCCAGATAATAATCTCATAGATTATAACATTTCATTGTATACCATATATAATCAAGGATAAGAAATAAGTAGTAATCATAATAATAATGATAAATTATGTTGAATCGACCATCTGAAAATGTCATCATTGTGATCCTTAGAAACAATAAAAAGCAATGAAGAGAAATTTCATGTAATCGAATAGGTACAAAACTTTCCTATAAATTTCCACTATCTCCTATAAATTTTTATTTGCCAAGTTATCTAGTTACTTGAAAAAACTTAACAATTTGACGCACTTTCTTATTTTTCAATAACGCTATTAGAAGACGAAGATTATCTGAAAAATGTGATATATATTTGCGTAATACATTTCGAACAATCTGATCCCCTACACATTTACTTGTCAAGTCAATGTATACATGATTATGTTTATCAATTTAAATGTATGTGTTGACACAAATACATAAGGAAGAGTAATTGTTCAATGCAGACTAGCGTGAGTGAACACATACGCAAATGGCTTGAAAACCAATTCAACATACAAACATTGATGAATGCAGGTGACAGACATCCATCGTCATCTACACCAAAGCATATCATTGAAATGAATCACAGGGTTAATACAACGACAGCCTTCAAGATATTATACAAGAATAATCAGGGGTGCATACTGAAGTTTACCGAAGTATTAGCTATTCGTAAACTTAAGCCTCCGCTGTGCGTACAAAAATAACTTTTTATTTCACTTAATTTACCTTGATCATCCTTATCTGATTATCTTACCAAGACTAGTGTCACAACCTTTTCATATTCTAAGTTGTTATTCATAGTAGACTGACATCAGTCGGAGGAACAATAGAAACCTGGGAGCACTCTAGAGTTGTTTCGTCCTAGTAGGGGACTCCTCAGCAATGCGCACCCACGACCCCTCCAGAGATCAAACCTGCAACCTTAAGGTCCCGTGGCCAGCATGTTACCATTGAGTCACCGGGTCAGAATCCAATCGTCTATATTTCCAACTTCTGTTAGCTCATGATATTCACTATATTTCACTTTTCATTTTCAAATATAAATTGTTTTGACAAGTAAATGTGTGGGGGTTCAGATTGTTCGAAATGTCTTGCGCAAATACATCACATTTTCCAGATAATCTTCGTCTTCTAATAGCAATTTCTTATGTTGAACAATGAAACTTAACACTTAAATTTATTTTGAACTTAACCAAGGTTTCTTTTTGCAATTTCATTCATATACTATATTCACTTTCATTATGCGATTTTTACTTCTATTAATGTGTACTTACCCTTTGCTTTCGAGTCTCAAATCTTCTTTTACTTCTTTCTCCTTCCTGAATGGACTACTGTCTGGATAGTTTGGAAAAGCTTTAAAAAACTTCGATTCTTTTTCCCATAATTCACTGAAAATCACCTAGTCTAACTGTTGTTCAATGCAAATTTCTCATGTTGACAATTTCTAGGTTGGGATAATAACAATAATAGTGACAATAATAATAATAATAATAATAATAATAATAATAATAATAATAATAATACACCAACACAAGACCAGGCATTACTGCGTAATGGTCCGAGTTGCCACACCTCATATCAGTACATCAGGTAAAAAGGCAGTCAAGTGGGAGATGACAAAAAGAAAATTCACTCAAAAGGAGTATAAAACACGAAAAGGGAGAAGTGAAGAATGACAAAATGGTGAGATTCGGTATACCGTCGTAAAGATGAGGATAATGTGTGTATACATCTACACCACTGACATCGATTCTGAGCCAGGTGATCACTTAGATCCTCCAACCACTGGTTCCTCTTGTCCCACGGACCCCAACCACCTAGTCTGTATCGCCCCACATGGCTTAAACTAACAGTCAAACACCTCATACATTGATACCATGTTTTGGTCTGGCCGCCTCGGGCCTTTTTTTAGCCTGGACCTACTTCGGCCAACATTGTGTGATGGGGGAATCGGTGACTGGGCATACGTAACAAGTGTCCCAACCATCTCAATCGCTAGAGGTTCATAACCTCGTAAACTGATTACCTCTACAACCTGAAACTCTACACCTGACTTCAGCGTTACTCACATGGTGACACCACGGAATATGGTTTATACTACGAAGGAAACGGTGGTCAAACACTTGAAGCCGGCCTTCTCATGTCTTCCACCTTCAATGGCCATGTTGTACAGCCATATAGCAGAACAGACCGAAGTGCTGTACAGTACACGCCACGCTTGATAGGCAGTCGGATATCACAGCGGAGCCTTAAGTGGCGTAAAATGGCGAAAGGCAGTCGAGCCTTTTGTATTTGTGCAGAGATTTCATCGGCCACTGAGCCACTAAGGCTGATCATATTTCCCAGGTAAGTGAAGTGGTTGACACATTCAATCACTACACTCTATTCTTAGCCGAGACACCGCTGAGGACCAATCCTGGAGCAACAATTCGTATTTTGGTGGTGAAAAACATCCCAAAAATTTCTCAAATTGCCCCTCAAAGTGTTCACTGTTTCAAAATGGAAACAAGTCAAGCCATCCACTTTTCTTTCATTAACTGTTTTTAATGTATGATATTTGTTGATTGACCTTCTGTAATACGTCCCCTATCTGTATCCCAGTTGACAGAGGTTAATTCCGTTCCCTATAATTACTGCATAACTATGTCTCTTTCGCACTAGTTGTCATAGGTGTACTGTTGTAAATCATACCAAGCAAAGCAAAGGAGAAATATTACAGTTTAGGAATAAGACAGCGAAATGCTGCAATGAGAAATGTCAATTATTTTGAAAAGGTTTTTATGTAACTAATTGAAGACTACGAGATATTTGCCAGACAAGAACATTAGTTCTATCGGTTTCCTGTTGATGTAACTTATGCTTATATTAAAGCATCCTCTTATGCTTAATTACTGTAAACATCAATGTATTTTCAGACTCCCCAGATAATATTCTGCAGTCATTCAATTGGCAACATGAAATTCAACTGCGGTTATAGGACAGCCTGATTTGTATAAGCCTATTTTGAAAATCGTCCTAGATTATCTGCTTCGATATTTTTACTGAAGTAATCAAGATGCCTCAGTGAAACCAATAAGCTTAAAAACAACAAAATTCTATTCGATTTAACTTGTATTTATAACTTCTGAGTCTTTACTGTAATACAAAGAACTAATATTGACTAATTAAGTGATTAGGTCTATGATATTCACATTCCTTATATGGAAGTTCATTATACGAATTCAAAATACAGTTATGTACATTGAACATCACTGAAAGCAGACTCAGAGAGATCAGTGGACACGTTCACACCACACCACAATTGCAGAAGGTTTGGAAAGAAAGAAAGGCACCTGCCTACTGAATGCAAGAAGGGCTACCTTCTCAAACTCTCAAAGAAGGGAGACTGGCGTGCAATCATGCTCCACTCCTATCCACCCAAAGTAAGCAGAATATTATGCCGCATCACATTGGAGAGATTAGAAGGTGCTCTGAATTCAAAATTACGACTGGAACAGACTGGCTGGCTGCCTTCAAGAACAACAAATCATGTGCGGATCAAATTGCAACACTACACATCATCATACAGTAGAGCACAGAGTGGAAGTCAACTCTCTGCCTTACCTCAACTTTATCGATTTTGAAAATGCCTTCGACAGCGTCGACCAAGTAATTTGGCCCCTGCTGCTTGAACACTACGGTTTTAGTGCCACAAATCTTTATCAACCTCATTCAACACCAGCTATATGCTATATGAGGATTCTACACGACAAGTGATTCACAATATAGAGCTCATCTCAGCAATGCCTTTGAACTTAAGACATGAGTAAGACAAGGTTGCCGTCTACTATCACCCATCATCTTCCTGATTGTGGTCGGCTGAAGTGGATCATGTAACAAACTGTGAGGAGATGGGCATACGCTGTTTGACCGATGAAAAGACCCTTGAAGATTTGGATTTCACCGATGATGATTTATGTCTAATGTCTTGTCGCACAAACTCGAAGATCTACAGGCGAAAATCAACAAGTTGACAGAAGAGGCAGAGCAGCGAAGACGCGACTTCCTTCAGGTGAACGCACAAAAGACAGGTGACGAAGATACCACACAAACCAACAACAACTAGAAGCATCAATCACCATCAACGGGAGAAATCTGAAGGAAGTAGTCTCCTTCACCTACACCTACCTAGGCAGCATCGCTTCAACTACAGGCGGCACAGCCACAGATAAGGATGTCAAAGCCAGGATCAGAAAGACAGTAAATCAGGCCCTCCTGCATCAACCTGAAATAAACAGTGTGGAGATCTATTGCACTCAACATAAAGAACAGCATCCGGATTTTCAACACTAATTCAGTCAAGTCAGTGCTTTTATGTGATGGTTGAGAGACTTAGTGCATCACGAAAAGCATTTCCAACAAACTACAGGCATACATCATCAACAGCTGCCGCCTACGCTCACTCGATACTGAAGATGGAGATCAGATGACCAGAATTATGAGAGTAAGCAACCAGGAACTCTGGTTGGTTGGCTGGCTGGCTGGCAACGAACCAACGAAGCAAGAACCTATCACCCAACAAATATGCAGAAGACAAAGATGGAGATGGATTGGATTGGATGGGGTTATACACTGAGAAGACCGATTGGGGACATCATACATCAAGCCAGACCAGGCCGTCGAGTGGAAGCCAAACGGGAAACGACGAGTTGGGCGTGGGATGCGAGGGTGACATGGAGGAGATGGTGTGAGGAAGAAATGAAAGCTTGTGGGCAGTCGTGGAGCCAGGTTGCAAAGACTGCAGAGAAGAGGGTGAAATGGTGACGTGCTACTGAAGCCCTATTTCCCCCCGGGAACGCAAAGAACAAATAATAATAGAAACATAATTAGTGCACACTTCAGCTACTGTTTTAATCACGTTGGTAAATTATCAACCCCTTGAAAATTTGAGGTTGATAACCTGTGATGAAACATCGTCACTAAACTGGTATGTAATTTTTTATTTCGAAAGCGCAATATCTTAGTGCAGAGCCATCTATAAAGAACTAATTCTTTATTCACGAAAATTCAGCATACTGTCAAGTGCTTATCTAATTTACAGTCGCACGGAACTTTTTAACTAATTCAGCAGCTGAGGCTGTGAAGAATATGACTTTATAGAACATACTACCGGCTAAAATGACAAGCATTATCCTAAATCCGGGATTGTTTTGGCAACAAACAATATTTATAATGTAGAACTCGACCACGCGAATTTCTGAATGTAATAAACATTCAGATATTTGTTAAAATCCTATAAAATGATTCATCGAGAATAATTCAGTATCAAAAATTTAGAAATATTGTAACTCATTGACCGTGAGTAGGCTTGCCCACTATATTACGAACAATACCCTTAGTTAGGGCTGAGGATCTTAATTAGCCGTCCATTCTACGGTCAATATGGCGGAGTATGGACGTGTGATCTACTAAATGAAAGTTGATTGACTAGGCCAACGAACCAAATAGCAAAGATACGCATAGGTTCTCAATTATCCACTGAACATTGTATAAATCATGTTATCACTATAACGATTAAATAGATTATCTAAGTGATATTTTCTTGATATTTAGTGATTGAACAGTATAGACCTACCGAAATGATGCCATCCAGTTGAGCGTGCAGAATAATAACATATTGATGTGCATTTCAAGCTTACACATTCTTCTTTGTACTCTATACTACCGACCTATTAATTACGTTGCTGAAAATTAATCCTAAGCTATGTGTTGGTGTATAGCTGTTTGACTGTACGCCTTCATAATTGCAAATACTTGTTAGAAAACACGTCTGAGTACCGCTAAAGGTAGCAGATAATCACTCCCAGTTCGTTGAGGCACTAGGTTTACCAGTTAATACTAAAGAATGTTCCAGAGTCGAATGCTTGAACTTATGTCGGTTAGGAACAGAACAGTCAAAGTAACTTTTTCGTCAGGATCCTTTACTTATGTACATGTAAATAATTTACCAAGAATATGGTAAAACATAAGCAATACAGATTTGTTATTTATTCTGCTAATTTTCATCATTAGCTCATTATAAAGACAGCAAATTAACAAGGATGTTACAAACAATTACTCTGATTGTATATGGATCCCGGTGAAAGTAAACAGTCTGAACCAAATAACCAAACAATTTCACTCTGATGTTAATTACATTTGCATAAAGACAAGATACACTATCTAGGTTTCAATGATAAATCTACTTGATCCAAATTCTTTTATTTTAGTTACTTATATCGCGATGAGGAAAACTCCAACCACCTTCCAAATAATACAAACTATACACTTCAAACTACATGCACTACTACACACTTTGAACATTCAATTTTTTTCTTCAGATGGTTGCATTCAACTGAATTTAAACAGATCGTACTACTTCTCATTCTAAGTAGCATAATTACCAAAATGCAAATAAACTTTCACTTATATGCAAAAAGAAACACAAACAAGTTTGAAAAATGAATTAAACAATAATAAACAGTAAATAAAGCACGCCGGTACAAATATATAAAAATGAATCTTTGTAATAAAAAAAAATGTACAAAATAATATTGTATGAGGACTGAAAGGTTGTTTATTACAGTTGGTACATTCTTCAGATATGGAGGACATGAGTATGTAATGAAGAGGAAGGTCAAACTGACAGTGTCTCATAAAAATGGTTCATTGTTTCACTGTTTTGAAGAAGAAAAAACTGTGGCAAATTTGAAATGCATGTGTTATGAAAAGTTCACAGTGAAAACTAAATAATAATTATTATTATTATCATTATAAATCTATGCAGCTAGGAGACGCTGTCAGAGAGAATTGAGATTCACAAATTATTGATACCTTTATAAGTCATTATCGCCATACAGAACATCTGAACAAGTTAAGTGATTAACGTGAGTGGAATGTTTACACATAGAACATCGGAAGTTAAATCAAACATTGAGAGAGAGAAACAAATTTCTACCTCAACAGAAATGCTGTGTATAACAAATGTTACGGATTAACGCCGGATTATTTCGATTTCACAGGTGAGTGATTTTGTACAAGAGCAAGCAAAATTGCAGTCATATATATATATATATATATATATATATATATATATATATATATATATATATATATATACGTAAAATAATAGACTGTACACATGCATAAACAATAATATGGTGTTTTGTAACATTTCACACAAATGATTAAAAACCTGAGAAAATATTTCATAAGAAAAGAAAGACAACTCTGTAAACAAAAAAGTGGTAAAAGATAAAAAATAAAGAATGAGTGATTATTTGATTTCTTTCACAGTAAAAATCATAAAACATCTTTTCGGTAAGAATACATACAACTATGATACAAATTAGATTAATAATATCCAATAGATGTGAAGAAAAGATGAACTTCATTGGATTTATTATGCACTAACATATTTAATGCGCCAAAAGGCATCGATGTCAATGGCTTGATTATAGGTAGATGATAAAACAGGACTATGAGAGAGTACAGGCGACTGACCAGTAGACATAGATTTGATACTTGATGAATGATTTAATAGTGTGTTGAATATGGTGTCTTCAACACAGACATCATTTTCTCCTTCAATTCCTTTGTCTCACGTTGATAATCAGTTAAGGTAAATGAGGATAATTTTCGATTTTTAGGGTTACTAGTCGGTTGGTCGATCAGCAAAGATGAGTCCGACTGACCTGTCTGACTGAGTAACGACGCAGCAGCTGAGGCTATTTCTCCTTCATCAAAACCAGTGACAGAAGCAGCAGAAATGGAAGATTGTGGAAGAGAAGAAATTCTGTTTGAGTGAAATGGGCTTGTGATTGAGTGAGATGAACTAAGGGATGATTCGTTTGCCATATCTTCTGTTAAAGCTGCAGCAGCGACCCAATCTTCATCAACTTGAAAGTGAGAATGACTAAACTGAGCACTTGAACCAGCTGAAGGTGTACACGAACCAATAAAACGATCAGAAACGTCGTCGTGTTGTCGTGTAGCGTCTGAAGATGGACGGTCACAGAATGGAACAGATGAGTAAGGAGGAGAAGTAACTGGGGAAATACCAGATAATGGATTGCGAGCCCACCAACGACGGCGTAAACGCCAAGGACTTGTGGGAGCACATGAACGGTTATTTTCTGGATTTTCAACATCAGAAGCTTCGGGGTTGACAGCGTTCCTTTCGATGACAATATTGTCAACATTCATTGTGCTTGGCTGTACGTCAGAAAATCGTTTCTGCTGCAGTGGCTGGCGAACGGATGAACTGCTCAACTGTCTTTCTGGTGTATTATTGTGCACTCCATTCTCAGACTTGATCAGCTGTCTGATACGACATGTGGGTGGAAATGCACCGTTATAAGAAAGAGGATCAGATGGTGTAACCATATCCAGACAGTATACCGGATTTACAATCCGCTGTACAGATCGACTTAAGAAACCGAGAGGACGAGCATGTTCTGTGCCCATTGGTAACAAAGCACCATCGTCAACAGGAAATACTGATAAAGCATGACTATTTACTGAAGAATATGCTACCCCAGGGGTAACACGCCGTTTTTTGCTAAGATGTGAATGCTTTTCAGCACAACTTTTCACCAGCATATAAAGCTCACCCGCTGAAAAACCCAACAGAGTTTTTAAATCACAGATGAATTTATAAACAAAGCGTTTTCCATGAACCTAGAGATAGAAAAGTACATAAATATAAACAGTTTGTTGAAATTAATAAACCAAAACATCAGTAAGAGTTAACAATTCTCTGTTGAATTTGATATTCCAATAAATTCAATTGCCTTATAGATTTACTATATCATTTACTAATATCTACTGATGAAACCACTTCTTTATGTCGACCTAGATAAGATGTGAGAGAGCATATTGTGGGTAAAACTGAAATATGATGAAATTATTCAATAACACTTCGTTCTCGAATAAACATAAATATACAATGATAAAAATGTAAACTTTAATCACGATGAGTTAAGGTAAAAGTCCTATTGAAAAGGCTATAGTTGTTTATCTCAACAGGGAACATCCGGAAATTACTTGCAAGTCTTCAGTCTTCAATATTTCATACAACAAACTATTAGGAGATATAACTGTGTTACTTCTAATAGTACTTAACCTGAACTAATGATAAGGTTTGTTTATCAAATAAAGAGTAAAAGGATATATAAGATGCCCTGATCATTCACTGATCACTTACAGTAGACGATGTCATAATTTAGTCCTGAGAGATAATTGAAGTAAATAAAGTTTGCAATGCGTCAAACTAGACTAAGTGCCTCAAGACTGCAGTGGACCGTATTCTATTTTGGACGGTTGGGTGTTGTACTTAGTTTCGAAAAAAGACAAAAATGAATTTTAAAAGGATACAAGAAACGTCTAAAAGTACTGCATCAATTTTTATGGATAACGTCAGGCACAGCTTTTGTTGGTATGGTGAGCCTCTGTTTTCTGATGAATGTCAAGACAAGGAGAAACACTATCCGGTTGCCAAGGTCAAATTAGATAGAACGGGATTTGAACCCAGAGCTCATTGCTTGATTGTCAAATTTCTACATCAATGAACCAAAGAACCAAATAAAATCTGAATCGAATATATGAAATGAACCGTAAGTGCTGCAATTACCATTACGCTGAACAATCCGATTACCTTATTAGTTAAATGTACACAACAGTCCAAATAACCACAACATCAACTGGAAAAACTTTGAAGTTTTACAGCATGTCGCCTTGAAGAGTAAAAAACAGTTACTACAGACTTGGAATTCAGATGAAAAAGCAATCAACATATACTGGCTGACTGACAAAACTAACGTAGAACCTCGTACACAGGTGCATCACCTCAAATTGCCACACTTCCTAGTAGTACACAAATAACAGGTGGATAGAAAAAGAGCGACATTAAAGTAGATAAAGAAGTGTGTGAGAATAAACAATCAACTTATGCGTATATACACCATCTGCGAACTCATGGAGATATAGACCATCAGGTAAACTTTTAAACCAAACCAAGTGTTCAAGAAGGAAAGATGGGCTAGAAAAACAAAGGTTCTCAAGAGCATAAAACAATGTCAAATAACGAAGAGTAAGAAGTGTCGGGGATAAAAAAGCGAACCTCAAATAAGAACTGCAATGAGACACCTACTGCTCCCAGAACATGTTTTAATTGAGAATCGTGTGACAACTGACATAGTATTGTAATAAGGAAAAACAAACAAATCCAGGTACAAACATCAAAAATCAATCTGCCTTGAGGACCGATGTTGGAGTTTAACCTAACATAACTACTTCCAAAATTGAAACAAGAGCAGCCTCACTTCACCTATAAGCGCGTGATAACCATCGACGCCATAACAATACCTTCAAAGTGTACGCCGAAAAAGGTAATCAAAACTCAAAACAATGGCCAAAAGTCAGAAAATATAGTTAAATTTGAGCACTGCAGAAGCCTACACTTTCGTTCGCTCTTTGGATGCACAACAAACTGAAAGATCTTCATCGTACAACTTCTCGGGAAGAATATATTACCCATGATTACATCAGAAGACTCAACAAATAGAACGGTGTCCGCCACACAGTTTTGATATCTCCTCTTTTGTAGAGAAGACAGTGAATATCAAGATGGCGTAATTAATCAAGCCTATTCAATGCCTGTGCTCTAATTTTGACCTAAATATGGTCAGAAATTACCGCAGAAACGACTAGATTGACCGGACTGGCTGACTGAAAACAACCCCTAACAACCAGTAATAAATTCTTGAATATGACAAAAGATCTCACGACACAGCTTGACCAACCATACAACGAACTTTCAAGTCCCACTCAACAGCTGCTACCTGGATGAAGTGGTCGGGGTTACATATCACAATGACCCAACCAGCTATACCGAATAATACGCTCGTCCCCACGAGGTCCAACCATGACAGAAATGTCTGCTGTTGGATAGTGTTACGACGAAAACTAGTCACCACTATAGTGTAAATTACTACACTATAATAAAGAGGCTGAGGGCGAAGTCGTACTGCTGCTAGCTGGATAGGGTATGATAACAGTAAGGTGTTTCCCTTGGATGACTAGCAGTTGGTAACCCATACCCGAAGGTTAGCGAACGCCGCTGGATTTCTGTTACGTCATCCGAACTGGTTAATGCGACAAGACTGATTCCAGCTGACCCTGACCATGATGAAGAGCGAAAGCAACTCACACGTAAAATAACCAAGAGTATTTGTAATAATCACAGGCATGTGGTGAGTGGTGAGAGCGAGAGTGAGAGAGATGACGAAGGTATCAGCGTTGAGTAACACCAGGTAACTAACTATTTAGGCTTATTAAGGATACCGGTAAGAAAAAATCGATGGTGAATGGAGCCAACACTGAGAAGGATGTGACGCTGATAACCTTCCTTGACAGGGGAGTAGAACGTTGAACAGAGCATAGCATTTTGCAGCACAATTCAACTGGCCTCCAGCAACTCTTCAGTTGCCCAACATACAGTTTGGACCTGAATGGGACGTAGATGTCAGTCCTCCAACTTTCCCTGAAGTTGAGAAAGCTGTATGGAACCTGAAATGACACACAACAGCAGGACGTGACGCTTTGACATCCGAAGTTTTCAAGGATGTAGGTAGGAAATCACTAATTACAGTGACGTCTATGGGAATCAGAGGTATTGAGATCACACTGCTGATTTCAGTCTATACTATAAGAAGGGATAGACAACCATAGTGGGGGGGTGGATTAGTTTGACTAATATTGTGTCCATGATTCTATGGTACATAGTTATCAGACACCTGACTGGAGCTCAAGAACAACAAACGCGAGAAAAGCAGACAGGTTACATATGTTGACGGGTATGTATCGATCATATTTTCACCCTCTGACGAATTTTGCAAGACAGACATACTTGCGGGCCGATGGTCGACACTTGCCATGTTTCTTGACGTGAAGGTGGCACTTGACTCTGTCGACCGTGAGTTGTTGTGGGAGTATTTGACTGTGAAGGGAGTACCGAGGAAGTTGATGACGCTAATCAAAGTTGTCTAGTCGAACTGACGCAACTGTGTCAGGAGAGAGTTGTTGTGTGAACTGACGACAACTAGTGGTGTCCGCAATGAATGCCCACTGTCACCGTTCTCATTTAACTTCATCATAGAGGTAGTAATGGACATACCGTAGGTACATTTAACTTCGGAGGGATTGACCCAGTATCTGGATATTATTCGGTTGATTTGGAGCATGTGGACGATATTGTCCTGCTAGGTAGATGTTGACAAAATGAATGATCTTCGAAAGGCGTTAAATGGATGTCTGTGTACGCGTGTCATGTGAAATGATGCTCCAGAACTGGTTGCTGCAAGTACTCCCAGCTTAGTGATAGGGAGGGAAATGCATCAGCTCGAACAGGCTAGTTGCTGACGAAATCCCGGCTCGGATACAGAGATGACTTCTACATACATTGTGCACACCAATTCACCGATCACCACCATCTGCGTTAACGACAGGCAAGATATCCGACTATCCGTCAAAGGAAGAGTAGACTGAGAGCTACACTCCCTTCTGTTCTGTTATATGGTTGTGACATGACCGTTGAAAGTAGGAGACATGAAGCGGTTACACAGTGCTGACTACAGATGTCTTCGTAGCACTGCTAGAGGTTAGTGGAATCACCGTGTGAACAATGTTGAGGTCTGGCGAAGGATACTATACAAGACAAGAGATTCGACTGGTGAGGTTGTAAACTTTAGTAGACAGACATGACTCGGACATGTGTGTTGCGCATGTCAATCCACCACCCACCTCGATGTGCCATGTTGGCGGGTGTAAAATTAGATGGGAAGAGAGTTCACAGTGACCAGATCAAGATGTGGCATCAATTGATGAAGTCCCTTACTCTTGGTCTGAACCGTGTGGTGAGATGTAGACTACCGGGCTGGAGTTACTGAGACGATAAGAACCAGTGGTTGAGGACTCCTGGCGACATGACTGAAAATCGGTTACAATGGTGCAGATGTATTCACTCTTTGACATTTTCTGAAGCTTGACTATTCGCACTATCTTTCATCGTTGAATTGCTGATTCTGTCACACAGCATTGTCTACTTCGATATCACCCATTTGCTGTCAACCTATTCTCTGTATATTGCCCTTGTATACCATACCTGTATGAAACCTGTATATTACCTGTGAAATTTAGTAACTTGAGCTGATGCATTTGCTTGCGTGGTTGTACGCTGTTTTTGGTATGTCTATCTGTCTTATAGCTTCTTTCTCGTAGCCCCATCGTAGCGTATCTATTTACAACATATAGGCAAGTTATTTTTGCCTCACCAATATTGAAGAGACCTTCCTGGTATTGTATGACGTCACTTAAGATTGTTGCCGACCAGGATAGCTCGTCTGGTCACTGTCTTATGGTGGCCTGTGTATTACGTCATGTCTTTCGGGTTGGTCACTGAAGAATTGGCAACACATACAAAATATCCTTTTTAGCGGATCACCTGATCCAAATTAAAGACAAGTAGAAAATTCATAAGAATGACTGTCTTGTAAATTGTCGTAAGATAAGTATGACTGCTTTTCTGTTTGCTCATTTGCCTTGACCTTACAAAGACTTAACGATACCACTGAGTGTTAAAAATAATTTAGACCAATTCAACAAGATTTTCAAGCTCTTCAGTAAAATAAGTTTACTCTTACTCCATCTCCTTTCATTGCCTTTCACCTTCAGCGCTCATGACAATTAGGAGACATCTGGTAGACAAATGAATTCATTTTATTCTACGAGAATGACAAATGTGTGGTGTTCATGAACACCTCTGGACTTACCGACATCCAAACATGAAATTTAAAACTACTCTCCTATCCACTGCACCACTGAAATGAGATCAGAGTGCCTGCAGTTTACAACTTTTAGATTATCAGTTACATGGAATTGTGTGGTTTATGTGATAGGGAGGGAAATGCATCAGCTCGAACAGGCTAGTTGCTGACGAAATCCCGGCTCGGATACAGAGATGACTTCTACATACATTGTGCACACCAATTCACCGATCACCACCATCTGCGTTAACGACAGGCAAGATATCCGACTATCCGTCAAAGGAAGAGTAGACTGAGAGCTACACTCCCTTCTGTTCTGTTATATGGTTGTGACATGACCGTTGAAAGTAGGAGACATGAAGCGGTTACACAGTGCTGACTACAGATGTCTTCTTAGCATTGCTAGAGGTTGGTGGAATCACCGTGTGAACAATGTTGAGGTCTGGCGAAGGATACCATATAAGACAAGAGATTCTACTGATGAGATTGTAAACTTTAGTAGACAGACTTGACTCAGACGTGAGTGTTGCATATGCCGATCCATCGCCCACCTCGATATGTCATCCAGGCGGGTGTAAAATTAGATGGGAAGAGAGTTCACAGTGACCAGATCAAGATGTGGCATCAATTGATGAAGTCTCTTACTCTTGGTCTGAACCGTGTGGTGAGATGTAGACTACCGGGCTGGAGTTACTGAGACGATAAGAACCAGTGGTTGAGGAATCTTGGTGATATTGCTGAAAACCGATCACAATAGCATAGATGTGTTCACTCCTTGACGTCTTTTAGAGCTCGAATATTCGCACTAGTGTTTATCTTCAGATTGTTCATTATCTTTTCTTATTCTCCTGTGTTTTGTAAACTCCTTTGAACCAATGAACTTTTGCACGAGGTTCTACGTTGATTTTGTCAGTCAGTCAATCTAATAAACTCACTATTGTGCTGTTCAAAATGGTTTCAAAAAGCTTCGCACTCAATTTTATTGCTGATAAAATGAATGAACATTAGCTTACTTTTAGAATAATGATTATAAGAAAAGAGCTCAGCAATCCACTGATCAATAAATAAGTTAATATGGATTGAAATTGCCATGGATATGTAGACGTAGGTACTATATATGAAAAATATGAATAACAGTAAAAACATATCGTCAAAACAAATAGATATTACATCAGGTACCTTTGAAATCATATCACCATCATAATAGTAACGCAATGCTCGAGATAGCTTCTCATAATTCATAGCAGGTTTATTTTTCCGATGACCCCACATGGCTGCCACTTGTTCAGGGTTACTTAACTTGAACTCGCCGTCATCACTTGTCCAGTGAATAGCCTCACGGTATCTCCAGTCTGTAAGCAACTCAAGTAAGAATTGCCACAGTTGAACCTGACCAGCAGCTGCTGCTGCTGCTGCAGCGGCAGCTGACGACTGAGAATTAGGTGGTCCTTGTAGAAAACTATTTCCATTTTGTGTTAGTATAAATGAACCCTGAGAAGGGAAATGAAACCAATAATTACAAGAACGGAGCACAAATTAATAGCTCTAATGGCATAGATATAATGTACTTAAGAGGTAGAAATGTAACCAAGTTGTTTGAACATTTTACTTGTAATCGCCGAACTTCATCCAATTAACCTTTTGACTGCGAAATAGTGCCCCTAATACCTAGGGACTACAAAATGCAAACCGATCAGCAGAGTCACTATGACGCTATGATGTTAATAACTGAGTTAGACAGAAAAGTATATATGATAAAATTACAAGTCTTTACATTTCATATTCAGGTTTTTGACTGAAACACGGATAAGTTACCAGGGTAGTTTAGTTCTGTTTATCGATGTCAAAGAACAAATCAGCAGATTGTAAGACTGAAAATTTCGTGTCAATAAAAAGTAAATATATAAAAATCGACATGGTTTAACAGTCTAATTTATCCAGTTATGATAGTTTAAATAAGTATGATACAAAACATTTACCAGATAATATATTTTCTCATCAATCGCAACCATTCGTATAAGGTGAACACACATACGCTGTCCTGTTAGGCGAAAATGATGACGAAATAGAGTCTTCTGAACGCCTTAAGCAGAAATCTGAGTTTGCTTGGAAAGCGTTTCACATTTTTCAAATGTAAGGTGATGCTTCAGCACTGATTTGCAACTACTCCCAGTTTAAGGATAAGGAAAAAAAGCCTTAGGATGTGTTGACCACTTCACTAACTTGGTTGGTTGCTAACGAAATCTCAGTTTGGAAGCAGAATACCAGTTCGGTTTTGTAAACCTGCAAGACATAAGACTACCTCCTGCTGAAGGACGGGTATACTGCACCACTGTCCGCTCAGTCGTGTTATACGGTTATGAGACATGTTTATCGAAAGCAAAAGACAGGTGTTTTCCTAGCATTGCTCGCGTATAGTGGAATCACTATGTAAAGAATGTTGAGGTTAGGCGAAGAGTACTAGGCAGATCGATCGGTATGTTGCGAACCTTCAGCAACTAAGGTGACTTGGTATATGTTACGCATGTCAACCCCCTGCCAACCTCGACGCGCAACGCTAGAAGTTGAACTGGGTTGGATGAAAGCTCAGGGTGGCCAGATCAAGACGTTGCACCAGTTAACGAAGTCCCTGACTGCTGATCCGGTTCGTGTATGGAGGTATAGACGACCGCCTGCTTGGGGTCCCAAAGACCATATGAATCAACGGTTAGAATTCTTGGTAATGTGACTGCAAATCGGTCACAGTGGCGTAGATTTATTCACTTCTTGACATGCTCTGAAGTTAGCACAGTTTCATTGAAAGTCATGTTCAAATTACTTTTCCTTCAGTGCATCAATATGAACTTTGATATAGTATTTTTCTACACACTTGTTTTGTGTAGCGTTTGCAATTGATGCACTTCTGTGCGAGGTTCTACGCTGACTTTATCTGCCTGTCTGTACAAGGATTTTGGTGTTTATGGATGTGTACATTAAGACCAGTCACATTCAATAAGACTTGAACAATGAGAGTTTCCTGAAAAGGGTTTTGAAGCAATGCATACAACGTCACTCGTTTTGCACCCTAGTTTAACCTGAGTCGTAAGAACTTACTGAGAAACAAGGTTTGCAAATAAAGTTGACCTCAATACAAGTGCATTCATAATTGAAAAAACTGTGATCATCCATTAAATGAATTTTGTCTAGCTTCTACAAACTTTCCCAAAAGCCATCTTTCAAAACCAATCAAAAAGCTTGACATAAGTAACACAACATTTTCACTAATGACGTTTTCAGCTTCTCAGGAACGTCGAGAACCGGTTGGCCAGTTGGCCATTATTAACTTCGATATCCTCTGATATACAATTTCGACAAACAACTAATGAGTTCAATACTGAGCAAATTTTAAACATTACAAGAATACATATAATTGGGGAACATCTGATATTCACTACAACTTACTTGAATCAATTGGCGACCCGAAGATGCTTCACACACATCACTTGTGTTACCGGATGAATTTAGACTAGATGTTTCGCCGCTAAGTGAACGTAACGTCATTGTTGCAGATCTCGGTACACCACCATTTGCGTCACCACGTGACAAAAAGATTGGCTTCGCAGTCATCATCCGTGAATTGCCATTTTTCACGTCATATATGTTTAACGCTCCAGAGAACGACGGAGCAAACACTATGCCTTGTGATTGGACAAAGTAACAAAAACCAACATGATAAAATACAGTCACATAAAAATCATAGAGACTAAGTATAAGCAAGCTTACGTACAAGTAACAGGAGAAATGTGCAAACAAAAAGCAAGAATAGGAGACGCCAAGTGCACGAATTTGCATGTGTTTGTCAAGTCACGTTTTGTGATACGTTTTTGACACTGCTTCCAATAAGTAGTCAACAGTGTTCCACCTGTCTGTTGGAATCTGTAAGCAACAAAGATAGTCTTTGAGAAGTAAAAAACAGATAGTGGTCGAAAGTTTTGGCATACAGTGCTTCATTGCGACCACTTCTGCTCTAGTTTAGTCAAAAATGAACTCACAACTGTGGAATGCATGCTATGCCGTCTAAGTGATTATCATTTGGTGGCAAAAACATGTGGGTAGTTATGTGGTATAGTAGTTTTTTGGCGTATTATGATTCTGTGAATCCCACTACAACACATGCGGCATAAAGTGCGTCACAAAAGATAACAACATTGTGAAGATAAGTGCGAAGATATGGATAGTGAAATAGTTCCAAAAAGGAAAGTTCTAAATTTTATCGTTGAATATGTTTAGCAACTGATACTGAGAATACCAAAATACTAACAGTGGTGAGTTGCTTATTGAAATAAAAGTGGAAATAGAGCTACAGTTTATATGTTTAACCGGAAAAAGGCAAATGATTCAGCACACTGACGTATTTTAGTTCTGACTAATAAAAGAGCAACGCACTTTGACTGTTTGTGAACATATGTTTTGACACAGAAACCTTTTTTCTATTAACTGAAATCAATTTTTGCATCTGCTTACTAGCGCTAGCTGTGACCAAAACATTCTGCTTTTATCTTGCTTCAAGACCCTTGTCAATACCTCGTCTGACAATAGTCAGGGAAGTGGTTGAGCACGTTGACCATTTCACTAATACTTGAGAATTCAGATCAGCCCTGGTAGGTCATTAAGTCGAAAAATCTTTGCACGGATACCTGTACCATCAGTAAGATACCCGATTGCTCACATGGTGATTCTACCAAATTCTGGCAATGCTACGAAGACATCTGTAATCAACACTCTATGACCGCTTCATATCTCCTACTTCCAACGGTCATGTCTCACAGCCATATAACAGGACAGAAGGGACTGTAGCGCGCAGTCTACTCTTCCTTTGACGGACAGTCGGATATCTCACCCGTCGTCAACATAGATGATGCAAGTTGACAAATGCCGAATGGGACTTCTATGTCCGAGTTGAGATTTCCTCAGCATCCAGCCCGTCCGAGCTGATGCATTTCCCAGATTCCTACTCAATGCGCCAACCAGTGACTTTCCCAGTTTTCAAGGAAAGAGTGAAATCCTCTAGTGATGACCAGAAGGGACTCAGCCTGATGAGAGAGTTCACAGTGACCAGATCAAGATGTGGCATCAATTGATGAAGTCTCTTACTCTTGGTCTGAACCGTGTGGTGAGATGTAGACTATCGGGTTGGAGTCACTGAGACGATAAGAACCAGTGGTTGAGGACTCCTGGCGACATGACTGAAAATCGGTTACAATGGTGCAGATGTATTCACTCTTTGACATTTTCTGAAGCTTGACTATTCGCACTATCTTTCATCGTTGAATTGCTGATTCTGTCACACAGCATTGTCTACTTCGATACCACTCATTTGCTGTCAACCTCTTCTCTGTATACTACTGTGAAATTTGGCAACTTGAGCTGATGAATTTGTGCGCGGCGCTCCACCTTGATTTTGTATATCTGTCTGACAATGTGTGGTTTGGATCGCAGTTTCAGGAGACCAGGGATGCTCTTCCGTGAACTCAAGTTATCGTCAAGAGCTGGTGGAAACTGAAAATGTAGGATTGTTGACCGAAAGAAGTGAAGGGAGATTAGATGCTAAGGATCTACAGTGATCTGAGGGGACTTGAGTGAAGGCGGTCGACACTTCCCGGCTGCCAACACCGTGGAAGGTTGGCTCTCAAGGTACTGAAAAAGGGTTAGTGCATGACCGTAGAACTCAACGGCTTGTAGTCGGTCACATACGGCCCTCTTAGAAGTTTGATATTTTTGTGAATCCGACTATGATTTCGTATCGCCGGTACCGACGTATTGGGGGATAAAAGGAAGTGCGCTATTTTTAGGACTGACCTTTTCTAATACCATCCACCTCCTACCGTTCTTACAGGGAAGGCGACATCGGCATGGCACTGCTGGTCACTCACCGGAGACATATGATAGCTGTTGAATCCTCATCAAGTTGACAGTATAACTTCGCCCTCGGACTCCCGTTATAACGTAGAAATTAAAGCTATAACGGTAACTGCTTTTTGTCAAACTAATGTCCAGTGGACCCTTTTGGTAAGGTGTGATCCCGAGGGAACGAGCGTTCCAACATAATAAATCCTTGAATCTTTGTGATATGTAAGCTCGGCCACCAAGTCATGATAGCAGCTATCGGTTGAGTCAAATAATATTGTGCGTGCTTAGAAAAGTCACCAAAGCGTTTTAGTTGTTTCTCATGATACCATGTTTAACACGCTGTTTCTCTATTCTTTTGACTTCGTTTAGTTAAGCATAATGTGACCTTGCAAAACTACTGCATGAGGTCAAGTTACCGAAACTGCGTAAAGTACTAAGAAAACAAAAATAAAAATGGCTGTAACAAGATAAGAGCTATCCGCCAGACATAGCCGCAGTACTGAATATAATAATGAACAGAAATATAGAATATGATCTGAAACGCATCAAATGCCCTATGTAATAACAAGTAAACTGAAACTGTAAACACTTACTTCCACCGAAACTTCTGCTTGAGTTTGCTTCTGTTAGGTTTCTTGAGCTGCGAAAACGAGATCGGGACATCTGTCTGTATAACTTTTGAGGTTGTTTTGCGATTGGTTGTGGAGGTTGAGGACGATAAGGAACACCTAAAACAAAATTGTTTTACCACTCAATCAAGGCTAACACATGCAATATTTAACGGTTAAGTAGGACAAGATATAGTAACTAACAGAACTCATTGCTACAAGTTATTGCACAAAATGCTGTCACACTAACCAACCAATAATAAGCATACAGACTCAGTTTTAATTGTGATATTATCTAACAGGATCAAAACGCGTATAACACTAACTATTAGTGTGAGGCCAGAATTCCTCATATATACGGGGGCGCAAGCAAGAGGCAAGTATCTTAGATGCGTCAATTTCTCACTGGAGCTTGTAACATCTGAATCTTATGCTAAACAGGACAGCAGAGATCACTTTGGAATTTCGAGCTACGGATTTATGTTGTGCTTCTGAAACAGGCATACTGCAACCAAGTGTGGTTATTCCTCTAACCTGACCTAGCCAACATGATGAATCTGCCAACTTCACTCTTTAGGTGTCGGCAAATTTAGCAGGTAGTTTTCGTGGGCTTACTGGTGCACAGGTATTGTACTAGGTAGCAAAGCACAGAGTGCACTTCTCAACCGGATACCAGTGGATAGCTATGCGCTGTTCAAATGAACGAATATGCATGAAGTGGAAAGGACAGTAACACTCATCGGCGCTTAGTAATAGTATGCTCCTACGATCCTAACAACTGCAGACCAGAAGAAAGGAAGAGTTTTACTTAAAACTGGCGATTTCTCTACATAAAGGAAAACGTCTCGATATGGTTATACTGGGGTGTGATTACAATGCTCGAGTAGGGAAGCTAAATCAATGAGAAAGGCACTTGGGGAATAACTACTGTATCCGCCGCCAACATACCGACAACGGTGGTTGTCTCTTACAACTTCTTTTGACGATTACTTGCTTCTGGTTAGCGCCAATGTTAAGTAGAGACGGTCTCATTTGGCATCCCCCAACAACACACCAACGGTGGATACAGACGTCACATGCTACAACCCGTTGGAGATGACCAGTAGAGGACTCCTAATCTTTTCTGAATTCTTGTTTAAACTCCCACCACGCGTGATTACAGCCTTTCTCGGCGCAGAAGACAAACAGTGGACAAACCTCAGTGAGTTCAACTGGAAGACGAGAACATGAGGTCTGTATTTCGAAAAAACATACCTAAGCATTCATCTGAACACGATAGTGATTCTACTCTCCGGGAAGCCTGATGTAATACTTAGTCTGTATAAGAGACAGTAATGAAAGCAGTTAGCAAATTACAATTAAAAATTAGCGAGCCCCAATGGTTTTTCCCATTCCCATCTGAACTGGCTGATGCGAGATATTCCAGTTGGTTGTGACTATGATGAAGATTGAAATCAGCTTGAACGTAAACTGACTACGAGTCTTCCCAAAGACCGTGAGTAGTGGTCGTTGGCGAAAGCGGGAGACGGAAAAGGTATAAGTACCAGGCAGTACTCGGCAAATATTTAGACTTATTAAGGGAACTGGCATGAAGGTTTTAGACCTGGACAAGGATGCACCTATCATATCTTTACTTTTCGGCAGGTTTTAGAACACGAACATACCTAACGGCGCCTGGCGTTTACCGCTTTTCTTGACCTGAAGTCATCATTCGACTCTGCCGACCGAGAGGTATTGTGGCAGTCTGTCTGTGAACGGAGCATCGAGCAAGTATATTACGCTGACCTAAGCTTTCTAGTCGAACTCACGCAACTATGTACGAGTTCATGAACAACCCATCATCTGAAGTGAGGACAACTGGATGTTCGCCAAGACTGCCTCTTGTAACTTTTTCGGTTTAACATTGTTATATGTCCCCTATGTGCATGCGAATTCACGGAGACTCAGTTACTCCTTGGAGGGCATTTGATCGAGTTGAAGTACATAGGTGACATAGTTTTGTTGAGTAAAAATGCTAACGAAATGCAGGATCTTCTGAACGCCTTAGGCAGAAATCAGAGTTTGTTTGGTAGACATTTTGCACTTGTCAAACTTAAGATGATGTCGCAGGACTGAAATGCACTTACTGATAGTTTAAGGGTAGGGATGGAATGTAAGAGTGCAATAATCTCTCAACTTGGTGATTTGCAACAGCCCAAATGGGTCAGATACAAAAGGGGCGTTGGCCGTTTGCCAACTTACGGCACTTTTCGTGTCAGTGAGATATCCGACTACCTATTGAAGGACAACTATGCTTTTCAACAGTTTGTTTTGTTCCACCATGTTGATAAGATATGGTCCCTGAAAGTGTCTACACGCGTCTTCATACCATTGTATGTAGGGGGATCACAGCATGAGCAATATCAAGGCTAGACATAGACATAGACATAGAGTACTAAGAAAATGACGGACTGACTTGTATGCTGCTGTGGCAACTTGGACCACTGCACTTTTGAATCAGGTTTTAAGTTGAACTGTTTGTCTGTCATCCTGGATACGCTAATCCTAATTCGGAAAAAATTGTGATCACTGTGACAAAACATCTTTTGCCGAGTTTATCACTTTCCATAAATATTAAACTTATGTCACGAATCAGTTTATTTCCTACAAATGAAGCCGATGGAATAGTAAATTATCATACCAGTAAACTGTAACAGAATCACGTGCAAGACGTACAAACATTTCGGCATCGTTTGAGTAACTCCAAATGAGTGAGAAAATTTACATTGGCATTGGGAACCAAACGTCGCCAATCGTCTGGTGTCAGAACAAACATACGAGATCCAGGCATATTGAACAACTTTTCGCTTTTTAAACCATCAATCCTGAATTGTTTGCAAGCCCAATTTATCCACATAATAACCTAGAATTTAAGATCAAAATAAGGACGAGAAGTAAAAGCTTTTCTCACACAAAATGATGTCAACAATAACACCGTTACAGAATAAGAGGTCCAAATATTAGAAATTTGGCCTCTAGGTAGCTAGAGTTAAGTTAGAAGCAAAATGGAGCCTTAATTCTAAGGCTGCCAGAATGTGCCGAAAAAACATACGACTAGTTAGTGTTTCTTTTGTAGACTGCAGACCAGAAACTTGTCTTTTGTATGTATTTTGCATGACGTTCTATTTAGTTCAATGTCAAACAGTGTGAAAAACAGATGACTTTTCTGTACAATCTGGCAGTTATTAGTCATCAAAAATACATACATAAATAGGTGTTCATCTATCAGCTTTCACCTCTTCGGAGAAATAAACATCACACTATAAGTATTACCTTCTATGAATCTTAATAGGGTCGGCGTGTTCTTTCAGTTATCAGAGTGTTAAACTGAGTTGAAGTATTTTTTGTGCAGCGGTAGTTGCTCTCTATCTGTGAAGCCACTAGCTCCGGAAAAAAACTCGGAACCTTGTTTATTCGGTCATTGTACTCTGTTACTTCTGATTAACATCTTAACACTCTGAAAACAAATGACTGGAAGGGGTTAAGGACCACGGTTATAAAATGCTTATTCTTGAGTGCAAATGAAGTAAAATGAAATGTTGCTATCAATTTTGTTCTATGCAAGTGTATATTTTAAAGTACGATTCGTTTACCAAGCTGAAACGTTTAGTGAGAGTGGAAAAATATTTTTGAGTTGACTTTGGGAGCTGACATACTTTCATCAGTCCAACAAGTATAACTTCTTATTCATGAACATTATAAATGCAGGCAGTGAGAACTCGGTTGTCACATGGGATCTGATGAGACATTTTTCTCACTGCTTATTCAACGACGTTTAGTAGGTTCTGACAAAAAGTAAAGGGTATGTTACTGAGAATATCTTCATTTAGAAAAAATGAAGAATCTTTCAGTGACTGGTGTGCAGATTGTTTTCTGGTACAGCCATTTGATAAACGATACGCTTATAAGCTCTGTACAATATCGTTAATTTAAAGTGATTATGCATGAAACATAGGGCGTGACATAAAATTATCCGAGGATGCCAAGTAAAAATCAAGAGGTTATTTATTAACGAGAAGGAAGCTAAATATTTTCTAAAAATACCGAGTCTTATAAGATTTTTAGATTATTTTGTCGTTACCAGCCAAGAAACGGAGTGATCAAGCTCGATACATGACGAAACGTGAGACAATATGCGTTACCTATGGGACTCCGATTCGACAATTTATAGTGTATCCCAAAAGACTTTTATCCTATAAAACTACCATCCAGTAGAATTGATTTTAATAGAGAATTCTAGAGAGGTATGTATGAAGCATGCATTATAAGGTTAAGAGGAGTTTAACCAGGTCTGGAAAAATTAGTGGTGGTAGATATGTACTCACCTGTGTTGAATTCCATTCAATAGGGTCGCGTGGGATATCATTCATTTCCATTAGGCGATGGTAATGACCATCAGGAACCCATCTAGACAAGCTTTCTAAATCGTAATTACCAAGGACTCCACCAGGTTCTAGCTGAGATCCTAAATAAGGACTTTGGGATAAATTCATATCAGGAATAGCGCATGCTTCAGAAACAACAGATTCATCAGGTATTGTATCACTTTCATTCAGAGCTGGTTTTGACTCCAGTACACCAGAACCACCTGCCGCAATGTCAGATGCTGCAGCCACTGCTGCTGCAACTGTAAGAGGAGATATACATTCCGGTTTAGGACTTGTTGGCCTGTTTGAATCCGGTATAATGCTGTCATTCTTTAATTCTTCGTTTTTTGATGGGTTTGTACTAGACGCCTGTAAAAGATTGTTAAATTAAAAACTAGACGTCAATAAGCACATAAAACCATCTCCATGTCAGATGAAGGATATGTGACAAATTCCCAATGATCTTGAAATCAATGGGTTTAGAAATTTGATATGACTCATGAGAGCATCCTTGCTACAGCTGTTGATCTGAAAATTCGACTACATTAAAGTGATCTTTTACATTCTTTAGTCTAACCAATGAAGTAAATATGGTAGTCTTTTCCAAACATTAAACATGGTAAGACATTAGAATACGAAATGCGTAAGCTAAAAACTTACAAAAAGCTATTTCTCTGGAAGAATAACTTTGAACGTATGAATGTACCAAACTCACAAAATGTTCTTACTCAACCTCACTAGAGAATAGTGGGCAGTGTTCAAACTATGCTTTACCTAAATTTGCTTGCAACTTTGTGAAGTATCGACGGAAGGAAGTAATAGAGCTCAACAACACTCTAATCTACAGGCAATTTTTAAAATCTACAGACATCAATTCTTTTATCATTCGAAATAGCGATAAATGGTTATTTATTTAAAGACTAACCTGTTGTACTGATGCTTTGGACACACTTGAACGTTTACATTTCTCAGTTTGCGCGTTGGAGTTAGAACCACGATGATCAACTGATTCTGGGATTTGAATGTCAACAACATTGAGTCGGAAAGGATAACCTTCATGTGCTGTCTTTACTTCTAACAATAGCTGAACCAAACCGGATATTTCAACACAATGTTCGACCAATGGTGACTCTCCACGAAGCTACGATAATATGACAACTCAAAAAAGAGGTAGTTACCTTGATACGATCTTGAAGGTAAAATTGGCAGCCGGAGAGACAAATCCCTAACCGTCTTTCCAGCAATTCAGCAACGTCGTACAAAGTTTGTTCTACGGATACTACAACTTTAACACGGTTGTCTTGAACACTATTGGTTCTCTGGTATCGATAGACATCTGACCAAGACCAGTAAGGATCACTCATGGAGTTGGGATCACCATTTTGGAAATCCCACTCCAAAGATGAATGGACATTTTTTGGTGGTTTACGATTGGAAATTTTAGCCATAATTAACAATTGACAAACATTTCCTGTAAAAGAAATATAAGCAAAATGCTTATTATGGGAGAGAAAGTAATTGATTCCGTAGGAAAACTAACATTTTAACGAAGAGATTAGGATAGGATAAAATATGGCACTGCGAATTTTCCGATCATCGTTAAGACATACACAATTCTTGAAGTTGATAATTTTTTCGGCAACATGAAGAAAATAAAACATTTTGAGATCTGCAAAATATATGAATCCCTCGGTAACTAAACGTAAAGTGGTCCAAAATCGCTTTCAGATCATATCAGTCCCTTAAAAATGCTCATTTAAGCTAAGCCTCACCTACCACTACTAATGACCATTTTCTATTGACAATTTGCAAAAAATTGATAGCTTCAGATAACAAATTACTCCTCCGAGCAGCCATGCACTTCAGACATATATTACGTTGTTGATGAAATCAGTACGTTTTTCACTACATTAGCGACTCGAAGCTCAAGGCATCCGATAACGTTTGAATGCTTATACGTTCCTGATAGATCTCAAAAAAATACTATTCAGTGCCAGATATGCATTTTTCGAAAGCCAAACAGAAAAAAACCAACAAACTAGACATTACCGCATCACGGTCAGTGATGCTACGTATCTCCGATCAGCACAAACTATTCAAAAAATATGAAGAAATAAAGGAAAATCCTTCGAAAGCAGTAGGAAGTCTCGATAAGATAACGAACACAATTGAACAGTTCGAAGTTCGACGTAGAATACAGCACACAAATGCCTCAGCTCAAGTTGCCAAATTTCACAGTAGTATACAGAGAAGAGGTTGACAGCAAATGAGTGGTATCGAAGTAGACAATGCTGTGTGACAGAATCAGCAATTCAACGATGAAAGATAGTGCGAATAGTCAAGCTTCAGAAAATGTCAAAGAGTGAATACATCTGCACCATTGTAACCGATTTTCAGTCATGTCGCCAGGAGTCCTCAACCACTGGTTCTTATCGTCTCAGTGACTCCAACCCGATAGTCTACATCTCACCACACGGTTCAGACCAAGAGTAAGGGACTTCATCAATTGATGCCACATCTTGATCTGGTCACTGTGAACTCTCTTCCCATCTAATTTTACACCCGCCAACATGGCACATCGAGGTGGGCGATGGATCGGCACATGCAACACTTACGTCTGAGTCATGTCTGTCTACTAAAGTTCACAACCTCCCCAATCGACTTGTTAGAGAAATAACAAAATACTGAGCTCGGTAGGACGCTTCATACGATGGAAATGTGTGTGGATACACTTGCACCCTTGAAATGGATTATGAGCCATATCACCAAGTCTCCAGCCTCTGGTTTTTGTTGTCACGTGGATCCCAACCAGGAAGTTTAAATATCAGAATAACAATCAAAGACTTCATGAACTGGTGCCATACCTTAATCTGACCGCCCTTAATCATTTTCCAACCTATACCTACTACAACGAACATCGTGTGATGAGGCAGACAGTGACTAGACATGTCTAACAAATATCCCAGCCACCTGAGTCGATGAACGAGCAGCAATCTGTATTTGCACTGTGAAAAACGCATACCAAACATCCTCAAATTCCCACTCAATGTGTCTAGAAGACTTTGCATCTCGCCACCATCTTCACCTAACGGGACCATATCAATTTCCGTGAAGTCAGATGATGAGAGGCAGACCTCCATATGTATGTTTATGACAAAGCTGGATAAGAATGAACATCGTTGATGGATACCACTCGACATACACAACTCACTCCACACCTCACCATGGGCTCCAGCACGTACACAGGTGCTGGAGTACAGAACCTTCAAAGAAGTCACGTGCTTACTCGGCTTCCTCTTCAGTGAGTGACACTGTCATAACACCTCTAGAACCTGAGGGTGAGTATCTCGTCGATACACTCATGACCAGGTTTAAGATCTGCCTAATTTTCTCGGGTTCGGTGTTCCCCAGCTTCACTTACACATCTAATGACAGGAACTGAGTTCATCAGACTGAGTCCCTTCTGGTCATCACTAGAGGATTTCACTCTTTCCTTGAAAACTGGGAAAGTCACTGGTTGGCGCATTGAGTAGGAATCTGGGAAATGCATCAGCTCGGACGGGCTGGATGCTGAGGAAATCTCAACTCGGACATAGAAGTCCCATTCGGCATTTGTCAACTTGCATCATCTATGTTGACGACGGGTGAGATATCCGACTGTCCGTCAAAGGAAGAGTAGACTGCGCGCTACAGTCCCTTCTGTCCTGTTATATGGCTGTGAGACATGACCGTTGGAAGTAGGAGATATGAAGCGGTCATAGAGTGTTGATTACAGATGTCTTCGTAGCATTGCCAGAATTTGGTAGAATCACCATGTGAGCAATCGGGTATCTTACTGATGGTACAGGTATCCGTGCAAAGATTTTTCGACTTAATGACCTACCAGGGCTGATCTGAATTCTCAAGTATTAGTGAAATGGTCAACGTGCTCAACCACTTCCCTGACTATTGTCAGACGAGGTATTGACAAGGGTCTTGAAGCAAGATAAAAGCAGAATGTTTTGGTCACAGCTAGCGCTAGTAAGCAGATGCAAAAATTGATTTCAGTTAATAGAAAAAAGGTTTCTGTGTCAAAACATATGTTCACAAACAGTCAAAGTGCGTTGCTCTTTTATTAGTCAGAACTAAAATACGTCAGTGTGCTGAATCATTTGCCTTTTTCCGGTTAAACATATAAACTGTAGCTCTATTTCCACTTTTATTTCAATAAGCAACTCACCACTGTTAGTATTTTGGTATTCTCAGTATCAGTTGCTAAACATATTCAACGATAAAATTTAGAACTTTCCTTTTTGGAACTATTTCACTATCCATATCTTCGCACTTATCTTCACAATGCTGTTATCTTTTGTGACGCACTTTATGCCGCATGTGTTGTAGTGGGATTCACAGAATCATAATACGCCAAAAAACTACTATACCACATAACTACCCACATGTTTTTGCCACCAAATGATAATCACTTAGACGGCATAGCATGCATTCCACAGTTGTGAGTTCATTTTTGACTAAACTAGAGCAGAAGTGGTCGCAATGAAGCACTGTATGCCAAAACTTTCGACCACTATCTGTTTTTTACTTCTCAAAGACTATCTTTGTTGCTTACAGATTCCAACAGACAGGTGGAACACTGTTGACTACTTATTGGAAGCAGTGTCAAAAACGTATCACAAAACGTGACTTGACAAACACATGCAAGTTCGTGCACTATAACACGAGGCACACGTACATTGAAGGCCAATGATGCCACCTACTAGGTGAAACTTCGGCACGTAGGGGAGGTTTCAACTTTCCGACTTACTGACCGAAAGTCTACTAATCAAACGAGTGAACTTTATCTCCAAGAGCAATACAGCTGGGTGAGAACATTCACCAAACGAATGGTGAAAGCTTTAAGTGAATTCACTACTTACCTCAATGTTGGTGAATTTGAAATAGCCACAGTTTAGACTCGTTCCAAGTTGTTAGCATTCTGAACTGGTATTATAGCGTTAGCTTAATTCGATCTTTATCGCTGCGAAGCAAATACATGACCTCGAATTAGCCATTGTATAATGTTGGACACAGTAAGATCCCACTGAAGTTATGATTACTGAGGCTACGTGAACTTTGACCACAATCACAGAGACTAGTTATTTTAATTAGGGAATACTGCGAGGGGATATGGGAGGTATACGACCACTCATGAGAATGGGAACAGACATAGGTTGGAAATCTCTGGAGGGTTAAACAAATAACGACAAGCTGTTGTCCATATACATAATGTTGCATTTTGTACTGATTTCTTACTTGTTATTTATCATACTGCGATGACATCCTCTCGAACTTTCATCACACCATGGCACATGAATGAGCAACATCACGCACTGCAGTGCTCCGGCATCCATAACATTTTGATTATAGCGCGCGAATATGCTTTTTTACCTACTTCTCAAGATCAAAACATCATGGACATCCACAAAACTTTTGGAGAACAAAGATGGATCAACAAGGAACCTCTACCGACTACCAAATCTATCATAGGTACAGGGATGAGTAAAACCATTAGAAGACCGACATAATCAATTTTAACCCGTTGGTTGGAAATTTTCACTTTAGAATGTTATTTCACTTCATCTACAGTATCTCTGTACACCATGCTGCAAGCATATCAGGCAGTAAATCGGCCCAAATGCAGCAAAAGATCAGTAAACACACAGATAAAACTAAGCGTTTGAATTTATTTTCAGACAAACACGACTGAAGTACATAAAACGAACAGACGAGGGCTACGTTTAGAGCAGGTAACCGACATAATGCTTATCTCTGTGAAGTAAACAATTCAAGACAAAGACCTGGCCATTTTTAAGGAAAATCAGCATAGTACAGGACCTTACTGTGGTTCCAAGTTCTACACAGCTGCTGAGGAAGTTAATCAGTTGGCAAACTTTTAATGGTTTGCTGCACGCTATAAAACATCGCATTCTTCCTGAATCCGAGGGTACTACAGGAGAACCAAGAACACCGAGCAAACATCTTTATAAACAATGACATAGAGGTATTACACGCTAGCAGAAGGGATCTAGTTGTGTGGGAAAATAGTGAGTCAACTTCAACTTGACTACCAACTTTATTCTGTAGGAATTGTTTGCTTGTTTGTTTGTTATCGTTAAATCGAAAAACGAACAGCCAATAAGCGTAGAGAATGTTGTAGAACCAAGAAGAAAAAGACCTACAAAAGTATGCGAAAACAACCTACCCGCTTCGTTGAAGTTTAACGCTCAGTTAAACAAAACAATGCCCTGCAAAATGTAAAGCTTGATAATTGAACAACACTTAAGTGATGTCACCCTAGAATCAAATTCGAGTAACAAAATATTCTGCTACAACTTGTAAAGCTTATCTCAAGCTTATTGCAGACTCAGAAATCGATGCGTCTTCGAATTCTGTAGTTCCTAAATGAAATGGAGAAAACGCTAGGGAACTGCTCAGACAACACGTGATGCAGCGCACCGCAATTACGAATTTACATGTGAAAATGGCAGCGGCTGCAGAAGAAGGTTATATTCCAAAAATATCTGATAGGAGACTTATAACTCGGTTTGAATCCGTGAATCTCCACTGCACGTCAGTGAGACATAATCGGCCAAAAGTGTTTCGCCGGAAACCTTGCAGTCATCCTTTCCGAGCTTCAGGTCTGTTAAGTCCCCCACTTTATTCATCTCCGGCGGGATATTGAGGCCTCAACTAGGGGCGGAGTTTGGCGTACTTTATCAGCTTTAAGGCCACACACTCTTCACAGTTTGGGAGTGCTTTTCTTGTGCTTCGCTTGAGTATAAGTTTTCACTGCGATGATTACTACACATCAATGTGTAAAACATAGGACAGCAGTCAACTTATTCTGATCAGTGTACTGTACTGAGCATAAAACGTGAACAATGTCCGGACTTTCAGCACTGATTCAGTCAAGTAAGTCCGTGCTTCTATGTGATGGTTGAGAGAGTCGGCGCATTTCGAAAAGAACTCTCAACAAACTACAGACATACGTCAGCGGCTGCTTACTCTCGATGTCGAAGACCAGATGACCAGAATCATAAGAATAAGTAAGAAGGAACTCTGGCTGGCAACGAAGCAGGGACATATCGCCCGACAAATATGCAGAAGAAGAAAGTGGAGATGGATTGGATCGGGCACACACTGAAAAGACTGTTTGGGGATATCACACGCCAAGCCAGGCCAGGTCGTCGAGTGGAATCCAAATGGAAAACGACGAGTGAGGTGTTTGAGGCGAGGGTGACATGGAGGACATGGTGTGAGGAAGAAATGAAAGCTTGTGGACAGTGGTGTAGACAGGTTGAAAAGACTGAAGAGAAGAGAGTGAGATGTTGGCGTGCTACGGAAGCCGTATGTTCCACTAGGAACCCAAGGGACAAGTAATAATACCTGGAAGTATACAACATGAAAATCACCACACACAGTCATATCTGCAGATGCGTATAAAGGCAGAAGACAGCAGTGCTAGTTCGAAACTGCTCGCATTGCTGCCAAGCACGCAAACCATCTACACAAAATCCTTCACAGGCAGAAAACCACCCACACATCTATGTGCGGATTTCGCTGATTGCCCACATTGTGCCCTTGCCATTGGGGCCTCCAGCTGATTTGGAATCGCCATCCTAGAAAACGCGACATCTCAATCGATGATTGCAGTGATGAGAAGACTGCTTTACCAGCTTGCGATTTCAGAACTCATCTCAGACAACTGCTCACAGTTCGCGCTGTCCTAGTTCGAGGACCTCCACCGCTAAGTGGCCAAGTGGGATGCTTTGAGGACGATCAAAAAAGCACTTCCGAAATAGCAAGTAGTTACGACAAGTAAAGATCAGCCCGATGATTTCTACAGCCTGACAGAACCGCACCGAGTCAAGCAAAGTAAACATAAACGCTCCGAGTGGAGCGATTTGTAAATTTGGCGTTGTACACCACATTCCGCTCAAAGATCCAGACAAATAGTCCATAAAATCAAGTCATCAAGATAACTAATGTCTTCCTGTCTTGCAGTGCTGTCGACGCTAGAGACTAACGACGAGGATGTTCAACGCGAAGCATTGTGGAAACAACTGAGTGGTAGGATGTGATCCTGTGTAATATCGGGGTGGGGCCAAAATGATGAAGTCGGTACAGGAACTCCCAGCTCCGAATGACGACGTGAATATACCTACTAGATCACAGTCCCTTAACAAACTGCCGGAAACATTCGTCATGAAGGCGTCAAGCAAGGAGTCTGAGAAAACGGCCTCGTGAAAAAAGAGTGTCAAACTTCGACACGGGTTTTCATGTTGCGCGTTGCTATCTTGCGGCGGTCCTAAACACGGGTTCTATTCGTTCCTCTATTACCTCCTTTCTTACTTGGTGGTGGTTGGCGCGGGGCTCGGAGGTTCTTTATGTATATCGGTCCGAGTGTCGCGTATTGTCTGGATCAGGTGCTCGGCCTTGAAACGTAATGAATTTGTCATTGAGTCCGGTTCACAAAGTCACAAATTTGGTAACCGCCGAACGGTGTGTGTGATTACAATCTGCTGAATAATCCCTCTCTTCATGGGTAGTAGTTTGGTAAAAATGATTTGGTTTATCATGAGCAGCTTATAAACACTAGTTAGCAATATTTTCCGTTCCAACAAGAGCAGGGATGTGATATGCGGATGGAGGTGTTTCTACTTTTATCTCTTAGAAGTTCTTAGATCGATACCCTTCAGTAAGACGTGATGGCTTTTGGGCATGTAGCAACTTTCGGAGTATGAACATCCTCTGGCTCAAAAGTGCAGCGGACAAATACGTGATTGACAACTTGCAAGCGAGCACTGTTTTCCCGAAATTTGCGACCAATTTTACGAAGGCCACTTGTAAACTGAATGGTTAGTCCAAACTGGGACCAGTGAGTGGACTGGTAAGGGGGCCAATTCATGCCTCGACTTCTCTGATGCATAAACCAACATTGTTCACTTCAGACCTCTATAAGGTGGCTACAATTATTCACCAGCATTCCTGCCAACGCCTAGTGATGTGGAAGACGCCCTATTTTTCTCCATTTCCTTAAAGTCCATGCGCTTGAACTGAAGGTGTTTTATCAGTGGAACAGGTTTATGCCCTCCCGGTCACGTTACACTTATGTTGGTTAACTACGCAAACAAGTAAAAACCCATAAGTTTGGCGCTGCCCGTCAGATACATGAACCCCCAGGTCTTTAAAATCGCTCTGCAGATATGCGGAACTATGCAGCCTTATTCATTGCAGTGGTAGATTATTCTGTAACGGAGAGCGCTGAGGATGAACTTTATTAAGAAGTGCCCAGATTACTATTTAATCCCAAACATAACTGGCTTCTAGAAGTTGAGGGCTGTACGCACAGTTTGCCTCATATGGATAGCTTCCGAATATTATGTGATCGGCTGATACGATCGTCGACTCCTGAAAAGCAACCTTTGGACCTCAACCCATAGGGTTGCTCGGTTCTTTGAACGCAAGAGAAAACAGACCAAAACCCACTAAACGTAACGGCATAAAATTCAGCGGTTTCGGTATTTTCAACGCCCTTCTAGAATAATGTTGCTTGTCAGTTTTGTCTGGTTAGGCTATCGGGCCCTCACGTGACTCTTCTTGAACGTTCGGCGTGCGGCTGTTGGTTGTGAGGATTTTCAGGGAGCTTGAGTCCTCTCGTGAGGACCTGATGGTAGTGATGAGATGGTAACACTTCCGTTAGAAGGTCAAGGATAGAAATGATTCTAAATTCACAACGGCAATGGAAGGCAGCGTGAGCTTTTTGACTGATGTTACACCATTCACCTGGTTTGGCCGGCTGCGGATTCCAGCTGGATGAGCGCAATCCATATGGAACTGCATAGTTGCTTTTACTTTTCTTAAAGTCGCAGACTGATGGAGCGAAGACTACCTCAGCAGACAACGCGCTGCAGTGTAGGTACAAATGGTGAAGAAAGAAGTCTGGGCTCACTTAGGTTTCGGCCTTTAATGTGTGGTTCCGTTTCGGCTTCTATGTGGAGCACCACAGTGTCCCCTGGGTAACATTCCTCGAATGGCTTGGACCACTTAACATCTCTTAGGCCATAATCAGGTCGCCATGTACCTTATGATAAAGAAGGACGGGAATGCCCAGATCGTATGGTCTATCCCCGAGTAATTTTTGCAGCATGAATACAACCCGCTTAGACGTCTATATGGAAACTTTCTCTGGAGTATCCGCGCCTCATTTCAGCTGTTGTGAATGAACCATGTTACCAATATGCGGTCGAGGTAGCTATGGGTCCTGGAAAATTTAAGAAAAAGCCCTCGGGTGAGGAAACATAGTAGCCTGACCAGGAGCTGCACTGCAGCGTATGTCATGGGGGCGTCTGCCAGGTGAGTCGGATCAGCACTTAGGTTGCCAGTCAATATTGGACCAACATGCTTCTTCTCGATTGTTTAAGAAAGGGTCCCACGGCAGATAAGGCGGGGTACTTTATTCAAGCTATGGGTGAGGAAAATATTGTCCTCTTCTTAATGGGGCCCTTTACTCTTCTCCTTACACTTACGGCAGAGTAGGCATAAAGAGAAAAGAAAAGGGCCCCAATGAGGGCGGTGTTAGTCGTATCCTTACTTAAGGCCTGTTTACCAGCTGAAACTACTGTACGGACATCGCAAACGCATACCCGAAGACAACTCTTTCTTGGTTGGTGCCTAGGTGTTCCTACGCTGAAAATCGTCAACAGAACCCGCAGGACGTTTGCAAAATCTCGTCCCGAGGTAGGAAATGTTGTCACAACACTACATACAAGGACATGCGTCAACCTCTCCGGCAAAATCAAGAGACGATCAACGGAAAGCATTCTGGGTCTGTTAAACAATCCATAAGCGGATCCTCACCAAGACTTAGGCTCTCACTATTTTGATTATTGTAGGCTGAGGGATGCTTAGATAACCGCAGGCGATAGAAAGTTTCCTCTATTCGGGTGTGCGGTGACTCGAATTCACTGTTGGGTGATTTCACCTGTGTTTCGCCTGTTTTTAGCTTCAGAAACATTTGAACAGTTGTCCGTTGACACACAGATTGGGCTCGTCCACCTTCTTTTGCCTTCCACACCAATCTTTACAGTCATCAACACTACTGTCGCTATTCAAAATACCACTCTTCTTCAGTGACTGGCTTATCTTCTTCCTTGCATCCATATGCCACCT